CATCTATTTATTTTTTGCAAGGTGTTTTCATATCAAAGGCATGCTGTGTATATGTGTTTTTTTCCCCCCTGGAGTTGAATTAATCTGTCTCTATAGTGGGGTAATAACATCTCTCACTCTCCAAGATTTAAAAATTAAAGATGGAAAACCCTGAGAATATTGTCTGGCAGTAAGAGTCAACCATCAGTTGTCATTATTAATATTAGAAAACTAGAAAAATTATGTAAATGAAAAAAAACTTGAAGTAGGAATTTATAGTCAGAAATAATGGGACAATGGCACTAGATATTTATGTCAATTTATCAAACTATAGTATGTTTTTATGTATCCCTCCACCCTCTGACTCACTCAATGCTTTCAGGCCTTGTAAGAAAATATGCTAAGGCAGTACCAAAACAGATGTTTATTACTATGGCTAACTAACTATCCTAGCTAATTGTAGTAAGGTCAGTTAGTTCTTTAGCAATTAGACACTATCTAAATACCGCATTGATATCTTTTGCTGTGTTGCTCTTTTCCTTTGGGACCCTAGTGTCTGTGGGTGTGCCTACCAGAGCTTTTAAGCAGCTGGGTTTCTCTTCTTCCTCCTCTTCAATTTGCAGCTTTGGTGTCACTTCTGCAGCCTCATAGTCACCCCACAAGGCTTCATGCTCTTCAGATTCTGGTTGCCATCTCTGGTATACAACCCCCTCACAGATTTCCTCCTCTTCCTCTCCAATGGCAGGGAGGGTGACAGGCAAGGCACGCACACTGCTGCATGCAGAGGCCACAAATTTATCACCCAGGACTTCAAGAGCCTTTTTAGGGTCTGAAAAGCACCTCCTCAGTTTTTTCAAATGTACCAGCTTGTTTTGCGTGGTCGTTGTAGGATCCTGCAGTGGTGCTGTATGGTAGGGCCTGGCTGCACGTGAGGTCACACTTGAGTTGGGGAGGGACAAGAGAGAGTAAGATGACTCCAAAGGTAAGGGTGCTGGCGGCAGTGGGAGGGGTGCTGAGGGCTCCTCCTCGATTTCAAGGACGGTGTCGTTTAGGGTATTTGGTTTGGCTTGATCAGCTGCTAAGATTAAGGCACTAAATTTCTCTAATTCATCCAAGAAGTTGTCCAGAAAAGAAGCGGTGGTTGGGGCCACAGAGTTTGTTGGTGGACACCTGTCAGTCAGAGACAGTCCTTCCTGATTAACACCCTGAGGAGAATTAATGTCAGAGCCAGGTGGAGCTTTGGATATAAGAGGAGGGGATGGTTCACTGGAAGCCAACTTAGAAATGAGCAGGGACCATGAAATTAAACACAATAAACAAAGAAAAAGAACAATCAAGCATGAAAATGCAGAGAGAGAAATGCAGAGAAAGTATGGCATTGAATCGAATAATCATTTGGTATAACACAGATTTGAAGACATGTAGAAGAAATCTAAGTTTGAAGGTATTTTATTGAGATTCAAATATATAACATCACTTATGCTAATTAAAAATGTACACAATGAAACTTGACTAGCTCTGAAGTGGTCTTAGGTATCAGATGAGAAGATACTACCAGGACAGTGAAATCTTAAGAGATTTAATTGTCCATCTCGTACACGAAGGATAGTGTAGGTTTCCAGATATTGGGTCAGTTCAAATGTTTTTTAAGTGTGTTAATGTAGAAAGAAACCCAACAGGAAAGCTTTCCTTGGTCCCTGAGTTTATTTACTGTTTTCCCTTTCTGAAACAGTGCCCATTCTTTGAACTTTCAAATCTTCTCATTTATGTCTGTGAGATGATAATAACACATGGAATAAATATTGTATACATGAACATATTTCTATCTAGGTAAGTTCATGACTACAATGAAACAATGTCCATAACTACTGCTTCAAAGTTCAATACTTCCACAGAAAGAGGGAATAAGAGTAACCTGCAAAGACTCTGGTTCTTTCTCAAAGTTTCGACTGTTATTGCAAACTTGAGGAGTATAATTTCTGAAGATTAATCTCCTAAAGTGAAACATACTCCTGTATACCTTAGTATTAGTGATGTATTTTGGAATGCTTTAAACAAAACAGTAAAAGGCAAATTTTTATACAAACTCATGAAAACTAATTCTAGTAACTTATCTTGCTCCTTTCTTGCTTTCTTTTTCCTTCCTTCTTTTCCCTCTCCCTCCCTCTCTCCCTCTTTCTTCTTTCTTTCTCTCTTTCCCTTCCTTCCTTCCTTCCTTTCTTTTCTTTCCTGGTTTAAGGTTCTTTCTCAGATTGCTTGTTCACAGATGGTGCTCCTCCATTTGAACCGTATCAACAGTTTGACAGTTTGCTGATTAATTGGAGATGCAGTCTCTCAGACTTTCCTCCAGGAATGGCTTTGAACCATAGCAATGGTGTTGTTTAATATTTCAAAAAAAAGAAAGAAGAAATAGAATACCATGGTCATGGGGTTGTATGAATGGCGTAAGACTAAAGTGAGCATCTCAAGAGAAGATTCAGAACCTGAGGCTGCTTAACACCTGATACAAAGTGAGACTGCATGTGAGCTTTGGGACTACTAAGTCCTGAAGATACTGAACTATTCACTGAGATATAAATCATCTGCATCTCATTTCAGTCTATAGAATTTCTTCTACTGGCTAAAGTTCTGTTTTATGAATTTTGTTATACAAAAAAGTTAGATTTGATTTTAATTATTTGATTTTGAAATTCACTTTTTGCTTCCTCTCACAGACAGCAATAATATGAATGAGAAAGAAAGACCTGTAAAGTCCACTGTCATTGCTATTCAGTATTGCTATTGCTCTTTACCTCTTCTACTATATCCATTAACCCCAGTGTCACCAATATACAGCTTAGCAGGTTAACAGTGCTTCATTTGATCATGGATTTGATTATCCTCAAAGTCAAATCTAGTATTGGGGAGTACTTATACCACCACAATATACCCATAATACCACAGTTATACAATTACCTTGTCTTCCAAAGCATAAGAAGTGGATTCTATTGTACTAAAAGGAGAAATAATACTAGCTTACATTTCAGTCTTCCCTAAAATTCTGATAACATGCCAAGAAACATGCAAGTGTTTTAAAGGGATGTTAAAAACCATTAGTGAGCTCTTCCCTATTTGAAAGTATCAGTCATGAAATAGGACATGTTCAGGGCAATAGCACTGAGAAATTTCCTTTCACTAAGCAAATGACACTGCAGCATGATTTCTAGTTGGACTGAAACCAGTAAGCATTTTTCTCAAATTTGTGGACATAAATTTTTAACTTATTTTTTCTTTTCAGTGAGATTAAAACACTAATTAGTTACTAATGAAATCTATACCTTCTTATGTTTAAAACCTGGTATGCTAAGAAAAACTGAAAATATATTTAAACCACATTTGAAATCAAGATAAAACATTGTGTTCTAAATGATTATATTGTCATTGTTAATTAGGCTACATGGTTCTTAATGCTAAGTAATCCCTTGTTTAAACAACTTCCTGACATTTTATAAGAGCTTAGTCACTTGATTTATCTGGCAGGTCTTTTAAGATAGCTGGGTGATGGGTAAGACACATATATGCCTGAGGATTCTTATCTTTTCTCTATCAATAGGAATTATTGCAGAAGGATATTGATCTCAAAATGCAAATAGCTCAATAAAGATATATTTACTGGTAAATACTTAAGTATATTTACTGGTAAATATATTTACTGGTAAGAAGATTTTACAGAACTTTACAATAATCAAATAAAATCAGATAGTATGAGACTTTCATTATCTAATGCTGGATGATTGAGGCTAATTACTCCCATCCAAATCTCTGTCTTCAAAGAGGATCAGAATAAATAAAATACCTAGACTTAGCTCATTTAATGGAAAAGCACCTCTCTTAAGATCGATTTGTAGATCATTTAACTTATGTAAAAATTCTTCTAAGATTCATCTTTCAGGAGTGATTTCCATTACCTAGATGCTATCTGGAAATGATCTGGGACAGGAAAGTACTTGCTAGCTGGAGGTGCATTATTTTTACATCTCTCAGCATGGATGTTACAAACAACTACTATACTATGCAAATTATTAAACTATGTATCTCAGAGATGTTTTGAGATGTTGGGAAGTAATTCATTGGGAATTTTAATTTTTATGCTATGAAGTTAGTGAGGAGAAGGCAATTACTAAGTACTCTTTATAAAAAATAGAATTCAACAGAAAAATAGAAGAAATATACATAGTGAAAAAAGGATAGATTTTTCTAGTAAGCAAATTCAAAAAGAAAATCCCCTTTTAAGTTACATCTTGAAGAAAATAACCATCTTTAGTTACTAGTTCACGTGAAACAGTAGAATTGATAGTTCTGAAACAAATGAAATAAGACTGAAAACTTCCAATATGCACATTTTCATTCAAACTAATAAATAAGTGGAATTAAAGATACAATTTAAATGTTGAGTTCTTGCAAAAGATTCCCAAGACTTCTGTAGAATTTTGTCAATAACCATGTGTTTTTGAGCTACATCATTTTGGAAAATATATTATATGTTCATATATATGTGCATATATGCATATACTTATATATGCATATATATACATAATGTATAGACATGTTATTTGCATGTGTCCACATATATATTTGTATAATTTGTAACCATATCTATGCAGGTACATAATTACCTTATTTATACATTGTGACACAAATAATCAACTTTCAGAAATAAAATTGTTTTCTAAAATATATATACACAGAAATATATGTAATGTGCAAGCTGATGACACTGATGTTTTCTTTACCTCTTTCAGTTTTTTAAACTTGATAATGGAACCATCAAAATGAAGCATTAAACCTTTATGCCAGCACCTATTTGGGCAAAACTAGGTTATACTTATGACGTGGTACTCGCAGGTATAACTATATAATATATAAATTCCTTTCCTTGCAATAGATGTGATGTTCTAATCTGATATCCCCAAATCACATGCTGGTTATCTTACTCCAGCCCCAAGTACTATATTAATTATTGTGATAGAATATCTCCTTACCTTGTTGGAACTCAAGCCATGGATTCTATCACTAGAGTAGCTGTGGGGTATTGGAGGGTCAGGGTAATCATCAGCACCTTTTGTGTTCTTCTTGACCACTTCCACGTAGGAAACTGGGAAGATGCCTTGTCTGTTGGTTCCTGGAATTTTACCTTCATACCAGTTTTGATCAACTCTTTTCAGAAGAATAATTCTATCTCCCTGAAATAAACATTAAGAAAATGCATCATAAATACACAATAATATAAAACATATTTTTATTGTTTTCTCAGAAATAATAGTTTTCTATAAGGAAAGGTTTATCCCCCAGTTTTTGTTTAACCAAAGGAACATAAATAAGGGCTAGTGTTTAGTAGAAAAATACAGATGATCAACCACATTCATGCAATTAAGTCATCGAGTCGTCACAGCAGATTCTTCTCTAATGGTACTTGGTTAATATGAATGGGTTTATATATTTCATACGGGTATTGTATATGATGACTTGCATAAGTTCTTTTTTTAAAGACTTGGTTTGAAAGATAATAACTTAATGAGCATAACACATTCCTGTTTCTTACAGATTTGATGGGATGAACCTGTAGCAATTGCTTGAGTCTGAAAATGAGTGGCAGAGGTCAAACCTCTGGTAGGATAAGATTGAAATGTCCATATGCTAACCAGTGATAAAGAGTGAATGGAAAGGATTCAGGCAATATCCATCGCTGTGGCCCAGGACTGACAGCCTTCCATCTGCATCAGGAAGGAAGAACACCTGCTGATTGTGTGATGGCCACGACATGACTGTTCACTACGTATTTCAACAGAATCCTTGGCTCTTGCAGTCATAAAACTTTACTCACGGTTCTGCCACCTGTAGCCACCAAATCAATGCTATAGAACATAATTTAAATTTGAACTCAAAACTATGTCTGATACAGAATTAAATCAGCAAATTGCTGCTGAACAGCAAAATTTAAAGCTGCATCCAAAAAGGATATAGAAGTTGAAATCACCGTATGTCAAATAAGGATAAGGAGATATATCTAACAACTTCAGGACCAAATGAGACTCTTATTTAAGGACTACCTATTGAAGATTCTTTTTTCTTTTGTTGTCCAAGTTGTGGATATTTTACCTAGTGAGTCCTAATCTCATTAAGCAGAACATACTGAAAAGGAAAAGTGAATTTACACAAAGCTTAAAAATTCTTAGTATATTTTAGATATGAGACCCTTGTCTGTTGTATGGCTAGTGAAGATTTTCTCCCAATCCGTGGGCTTTCTATGGATCTTGCTACCTATGTCCTTTGTCATGCAGAACCTCTGCAGTTTCATGCAATCCCATTTGTCCAAACTTCTGGGTCTTTATTAAGAAAATTTCGGCCTGTGCCAAGGAGAACTACGGTTTCTCCAATTCCACCCTGTAATGTTTTCAGGGTGTTTGCTTTGACTTCAAGGTCTTTGATCCAGTTGGAGTTGATTCTGGTGCAGGGTGATATATTAAGATCTAGCTTTAGTTTTCTACAGGCGATTAACCAATTTTGCCAGCACCATTTACTGAAGAGGCTGTCTTTCTTCCATTCTGTTTTTTTTTTTAGCTCCCTTATCGAAGATTAGGTGGTTTTATCTTTCTTGCTGTTGTTTTTAATGTATTTATAATGAACCATGTGATTTTTTTGTTTCTTTTGTATGCTCTTTCTCTATGGTATAACCCCTGTTTTCACTATATTTGATTCCGGTGCCCTGGATCTGGTGTATACATTTTTCTAATTTGAGGAAAGGAAGGGAAATAATAAAATGTTGAAATAAGGATATAAGCTGATCCATTGTAACAATGAGAAGTACAAGATACTATGTTGAAAATGAAGGGGGAGGGAGGAGTTGGGGAGGTGGGGAGGAAAGGGATGGTAGGGGAAAAATAAAGGAGGAAGTAACAATGCTGGATAGGAAATGGACTCATTACCTTGCTCATGTAACTCCTCTGTACAGTATTTTTACAATAAAAACTCAATACAAAAATTCTTATTATACCCAAAACAATCAGTGACAAGGCTGTTTTGGGGTTAAACTGAGAAATCCTTTATTTCCTTGTTTGTTTAGTGTTGGTAGTACTTGAAGATCAGACTTAAGGCTTCATGCTAGCCAGGCAGGTGTTCTACCACCTGAGTCATATCATTTTTTTGTGTGTCAGTAATGGGCCTCAAACTTGGGGCCTGGACATTGTCCTTGAGCAAAAGTGTGCTCTACCACTTTGAGCCACAGGGCTACTTCCAGTTTTCTAGTAGTTACCTGGAGATAAGAGTGTCACCAACGTTCCTGCCTGGACTGGCTTTGAGCTGCGATCCTTAGATCTCAGCCTCCTGAGTAGCTAGGATCACAGGCATGAGCCACCAGAGCCTGGTTTCAATTGTTCTTTTGCTTTTGTTTATTCTTTAAACAGAGTCTCACACTTCTGCCAGGAGTGGTCTTAGGCAGAAATGTTCCTATCTCCATCTTCTGAATATCTGGGATTATAGGTAGGCATCATCATATCTAGGTCTGGAAAAGGCTTTCTTCATAGTATGAAACAGAAGTTGGGTACTGCTTATGTCATGCTACATGGCTGTCTATGTTTAGTAGTGCCAAAAGGAATGTAGCAGAGAATCAACAGAGTACAATTAGAATTGAAAAGAGAATGAGATGTGGATCCTTTAGGACCACAACTGTGGAATTTGCCTTCCTTTTACCTGGCTAAATATTTGACCTGTAGGCATGGGACATCCAAATGATTCTAATTAATAAAGAATCATTATTATTATTTATTATTAATCTGTTCTTACTTTGTGCAGTAGTGATTGACTATTACAAATATATGCCATTGTTTAATAAACAAAATGGCCTATAATTGTTTTTAATTAATTCCCCTGCTCCATGTCTAAAGAAACAAGGTAACTATGATTGTAGTTTCAGAAACCTGCTGTCATTTCAAACACATCTATGAAGAACCCAGCCAGCTCACCTTTCTCAGTGATAGCTCCACATTTGTGTCTGCATTGAAATTGTATTTAGCTATGGCTTCTCCAATCTCTCCAGGCTGGGCTGGGGGAGGGGGTCTTGCAGGCTGTGCTTTTTCAGGAGGGGTGAGTTTCTGCACGGAAAGCACACATTGGTCCTTCAACTGGTGGGGATTTTTTTGAAACAATCAGTCAGGAGGGAAGGGGAAAGACCTTACCTCCACGTATGAGATTGGAAAAATGCCTACTCGTCCATAATGCTCTCCCTCATACCAATTTTGATCAATTTTCCTTAGGATGTAGACGGTATCCCCTTTCTTAAAGGACAACTCCCTGAAAGAGATGGGTTAGAGGTGTTTTTGTTTTTTCCCTCCCTGGATGACTAGCAATTATTCTTAAGATCAGCACCCTCCTTAGATCTGTGTTTGTCTGGGAAATATCCTTCCAACCAGTAACAATCTATTGAGCTCCGTTAGGTAAATTTTTTTTTCTTGAAAATCCCTCGAAGCCACTTACAATATGAAATTAGAAATGACTCAGAAAAGCACAAGCATCACATTCTGTATAAATCCCAGGCAGTTGGACAGGAAATGTAAAAAAAGAACAGATTATTGCTATTTCATCATTAGTTTAGTAGAAGTGTTATAATGCTTGGAAAATGATTGATTCGTGCTATACTGAGTTCTTCTTTTGTCCTGAAGCTAGTTAGTAGAGACTAATCCCATATCTACACACAAATATACACACATACACACATTCAACACAATCTTTAGATAGTTATAGAAAGGAGTTTTATTTAGCATACCAGTTTATGTGTACAATGTGTCCTGATCAGTTCACTCTTCCATCGTTCTCACCTGAATTTATCCCCCACCCAATCCCCTCAAGTTACTTGGTTCCATTTTCACACTGAGTATTATGATTAAATTCACTCATCCTCTCTCTCCACTCAACAGCTCCTCTCCCCTTCAGCCCTATCCTCAGACCAGACATGGCTTTACTTCCTGGTATTCATTTTGTTACATTGTTCAAAGGGTTTACACTATGGAAATCTACTCCTACAGTATACCTTTAATGTGCCAAAATTCATAAGAAAGACAAATACCAGGTAGTCTCAAGGAAAAAAAAAACAGAAAAAATTTATTAGATTTTTGAGGTTGAGAGGTATTTAAGGTACTTTGATAAGGAATTACTTTTGTGTGACAGAAAAGATCTTATTCTTTGAAGAGTTTGATGGGGCACAAAGATGAATACCTTTTAAATCCAAACACAGTCAAAAATTCTCATCATCTTTATACATTTTGTTTTTAAAAAATAAAAATGTTTTAATGGTATTAAGCCTTTTTTCCATTTTGACTCTTTAGACTACAATAGGTGAATCAGGAACTTTTAAAAATGTAAACTCTAAAGACCTTATTCATTTTGAGTAACACAGACATCAATTTACTCCCTGTAACTTTATTTTAAATTAATTCTTGACCAAAAACTTTAGAAAAAGAATCAAGAGCTGGTGGCTCATACCTGTAATCTTAGCTATTTAGGAAGCTGAGATCTGAAGATCATGTGGTTCAAGTGGTAGACTCCAGCTTTGGTGGAAGCTTTGGGACAACACCCAGGCCTTGAGTAAAAGCTCTAGTACCAGCACACACACACACACACACACACACACACACACACACACACACACACACACACACACTCTAGAAAAAGAGATTTATTTCTTTTTCATTTTACATTGTGCTCTAACATGCTCATGTAAATTTAAGGCTTAGTGTTTCCCAACTGAATTCAAAATGAAAATAAAATAGTTGCATCTCAATTACTAATTCTGAATGAACAAAGTAATTCAAGTGGAAGATGGAATTAGTCTGAGGTCTTAGCTGTAACCCACTCTATTGTAATACTTACCTCCTGAGGTTTTACCAGCACAGTTAAATCTCACCTAAATCAGATGGAAAATGTGTGTCCTACTTACTTAGATGTCTGAGCCTTAAAATCATAAACAGCTTTTGCAGGCAATTTCTGAAAAGAAAGATCAGCAATTAGCACTAGTGTAGAATGCTGATTTCCTACAAGAAAGCAATTCCACATGTGTTAAAGGAAAATGACACCTCAAGGAATGATTAAACCTATGTAGTGTAACTCCTACATTCAATTTACAATTAAAGCAGTGAATTCTAAATCTAGATTTATCAATTATAATCTATATTTTAGGAATTAACAGGGACAATGCTATTTTAAGAAAATAAAGTACCTGCTGAGAATTTGGTGAAAAGTGTAATTTTGGTAACTATTTTCTTGAGACAGGGGTGGAGGGACCATTGCTCTATGTTCTGTGCACTGATCGAAGTCTGAGTCTCAACAGAAGGACCAAAAGACATGTGGAGAGCCAGAATCTTCTTCATAAACATTGTGGACATATTAGCCAAGAACTATTAGTCCAGTTATCACTGGGAGGCCAATTAGGGGCCAAAAAGTATAGGTGTGATTGTCTTATATCCTCAAGTGAGCTCAGGAATCCACACACAGCCAGCTGGCTGTTCATCATTTGGTTACTACGTGACACAAGCTCTGGGCTCATAAATCTAGTACTTTATGGTTGGTGGTATTTATCCCATTCTCTGAACTTCAAGAAACCTGGACAATATCTGACTTTGGGGTTGTCCCTCAGGCACTTCCACACCTGGAAGTTCCTCCTGGAATGGTTATCAGTCCTAGGCTGGCTTTCAATGTTGGTTAACTCTCATAGCTTCAGGACAGGAACAAATGTTCTGGTACTGGAGGCCATGGACTAACAGCCAGTTGGTCCCTTTTTTAAGGTATCTTCTCCAATAAAAGCAAGCCAGAAAAATTACTTATATAGAATTTGTATTTGCATCACAGTTGACCTTGAGTTCACTCCTAGACCAGTAGGGCAAGGAGACAGTACAGAGAAAAGCTTTGTGCCATCAGTGATTCAGGATTCTTTACAGCTGTTAACTCTGAGGCCTCAGATAGGCCTCACAGCCCAAACTGAGAAGTGGAGCTGGAGTCAACTGCCTCCAGGGCTTGACTCCAATTCCAAGGAAAGCTCTTTCTGATTTCTCAGCTGTTATCTGACGTTCCAAACTCAGTTCTTTCCAGGGTTGGGATATATACTGGGCAGGTGAATACCTCATCATATACATTGTTAGAAGAGATTCCCATGCTGTGTAATGAGCTACCTCTTTATCTGGAGTTCCTCGTCGGTCCCTCGGTGCACTTCGCCCCAGGTCCGTCAAAACCGATGGGTAATTTCTCGGGGACTCTTGGTCTATTGGAAAGGACAAGACCAATCAGAGGGAATATTCTTTTTTTTTTTTGCACTGAGTACAGCTTTCTCATCCTTTTCCCTGCTCCCCCTCTCCCCCTCCCCCCTCACAGCCCCACCCCGTGACAACTAATTTTTCCTCCACATTTGGAGAGACATCACTGATGAAAATGTAGGTGCAAAAGCCATAGTCAATGATAATGGTGAGATGTAACACACATAAAATGAGAACATTTCAAAAGCAGAGATTCCCAAGGGAGTAGCGTTCTTTTTTTAGGGGGAGGTCCAGTCATGCGGCCTGAACTCTGGGCCGGGGCGCTGTCCCTCAGCTCTTCAGCTCAAGGCTAGCGCTCTACCACTTGAGCCACAGCGCCACGTCTGGCTTTTTCTGCTTATGTGGTGCTGAGGAATCGAACCCAGGGCCTCATGCATGCAAGGCAAGCGCTCTACCACTGAGCCACCTTCCCAGCCCGGGAGTTGCATTCTAATATACATAAATATGATTGCTTCACTGATGATTTATTGCACCACAGCAGTGTAGACAGTAAAAGAGATTTTTCAAGTAAATCTTCCTTTTCCATATTTACCACTTCTGTTTGTTTCATATTTATTACTATTACTATAAGGATGGAAGATAGAGAATATGGAAACAACAAGAATTTGTAGAAACAGAAATGTTTTGTGGAACAACATTTTAAGCAGATATTAATGAAAGAGAGATGAATAAATATGATGACAACAAAACTGTGGTTGTTTCTTCCCTTTCTCTCTCTCTCTCCTTCTGTCTTGGCTTCTCCCTCTTCCTCTCCATCTACTTCTCTGTTTTTAAAATACTGATTGCGTCTTAAGATGTTTATAGGCTTATGAGAAATAATTTATTTTAAAAAACAAAGGGGGTAAACAGAGCCTCCTATCAGTCACCAAATGGTTTATGAATTATTGAGGAGTTTGTTCATCTTAAAGCAGAGTATGAATTATTTCATTACAAAATAGTTATTGCAATTTTTTTTAGCAGCATCTTACTCCTTACCCACTTATATGACTTGTATGTGTCGATGTGTGTAGATTGAAAATATCCCAGCACACTATGCTACAGAACTTTACTGGTGTAATTGGGTCAGTCTGTCAATTCTTCTATCTCTTTAAAAATTTCTGTTACATTAAATAGCATGAAATATTAAATAGCAAGTTACATTAAATAGCAAGAAATGAAGCAAACTTTATTTTATATGAAGAAAACACTGTTTAGTGTTTGAATACTTTGCCTTTATGGAAGAAATTTTTGACTGTTTTTACATGGGATAGCTAATTCTGTCTGAGGTGTTATTTCCAAAGGCTTTAGGTATAGAAAGGTAACATGGTGATGAACATCCCCTTCCTTCCTTTCTTCCTTCTTTCTTTCCTTCCGGTATTGGTGGTACTAGGATTTGAACATAGGACCTCAAGCTCTGTACCACGTGAGCCACATTACTAGCTCTTTTATCTTTTAGTTCATTTTCAGACAGTCTTATGCTATTGCCTGATGCTAGTCTCAGGCCACAATCCTCCTACCTCTGTCTCTAGTCTAGTTGGAATTGCAGATTTGAACCACCCCCTGTTCTTTGAGACAGGGTCACACTAACATTTTCTTTTTATTGTAGGTAGGCTTCAAATGAGTCTTCAAAATGAGATCCTTCTATCTCCATCTTCCAAGTTGCTGGGTTATAGGCATGAACCACTGAATGTGTCTTTGCAAATGTTTCAGGTAAAATAAGGGCAATTATTTTCATATATTAGAAGATGATGTATGGTACATTTTTACTCTTAGTTACTATATTGTGAATATGAGGTCTTCATAATGATCAAAAATTCTAAATTACTTTTAAGTATTGGAATATAGTCTACTTTTACTGGGGTTGAACATAATTACAAAGTAAATATTTTATAAGGAGCAAAATATTCTTTCACTGATTCCTAAGACCTTTTAAGGTCATGTTTCCCTAATATGGCCTATCTGTACATAAAAATGAGATGTGATTGATTCAGGATATTGGAAAGTTTTTAAAAATTGTATTTGGACCTTCCTCTGAAAATTTCTTATTATAGAAATTGATTTAAAAATTTCTAATTTGTTGTTTTTGAAGCATGTTGCATAAATAAAAAAGCAAGGGTAAATACTAACAAAATAAATTTGTGAAATGATAATTAATTTTTTGTCATATATTACAGAAAGGTGAAATTTAGTTTGTATCTCTTTTTGTCTGCAGAAATTGCTTTTATGATAAGAACTATGAACCAAAAGGGGCTTGAATCACTTTCTTAGTTACCTGCCAATGGTGCTATCTTGAGCAAGTTTCTTGTCATCTTTTGGGTCTCAGTTTTTTTCAGTTGTTCAACAGAGCACCCCATTGGATTATGCCAGTCAGGGATTATATTAAGGATTATACCCTAATTAGGTAAGGTAGATAAAGCACTTGGTAGTACCTGGTGTATAGAAACTTTTCTGGACTGTGTGTTCTAGCCACCTCTAATTGACATGCTACACAGGGCACTTTAAGAATGAATGGAGCCTGTAGCTGGTGGTTCACACTTGTAATCCTCACTCAGGAGGCTGAGATCTGCGGATCACAGTTCAAAGCCAGCCCAGGAAGAAAAGTCTGAGAGACTCTTTCTTATCTCCAATTAACCACCAAAAAATATGAAGTGGCGCTATGGTTCAAGGGTAGCTAGCGCACTCTCCTTGAGCTGAAGAGCTCAGTGTCAGTGCCCAGGCCCAGAGTTCAAGTCCCATGACTACAAAAAAACCCAATGAATGGAATAATTGGATAAAACATTGGAACAACTTATGTTTTTAAGTTACGTAAAGTTCAAGTAAACATCTCTACGTTTGAATTACTATGTGTCTTTGCATTGGCATGTTGACATTGACTATGACAATGTAGTTGAAAGTCACCTTAACCTAGACATTTTCAAATTCCAATGTACAAATTATTTTAGCAGAAATGAAAAATTAATTGAATAATGGAAAAGAAGAGAAGATGGATACACTGAATGATGGAAATGAAACTTTTATATGTATAGCTTAAAGAAATAGTCACAAAAATTGTATCCCAATTGTGTTCTTTAAATGGAGAAAGGAACAACATAAATTCTAATCTCTTTGGTGGCTCATCAAGCACAAATCACAGATTCAGTTTTGTTTGCTGGGTGTTTTGAAGCCGTATCTTCTACATAGAACATGAACAAACTATTCGAGTCAATGGGAATAAAGATTCAAAGGTAAAAAACTTTATGTTAAGTGTTTTTCTTTTCATTTTACACTAAAAAAAAAGATTTGTTGAGGCTACTGACATGTTGTTATAGTGTCTGTCTCGAGATAGTCTTTTTAATGCCATAGATAATTTAATTTGTTGTCTGTATGTACCTGTCATCTTAACCCTAACATTAAACTACAACATGGTTTTCCCTTCATTTTGGAATGAGGAAAATGCTTCTGAATTGATGATCACTTTAAACTACAGTGAAGTCTGACTATCACATGGCAAATGAGAAGTATTCAGTAAGACAAGTTAGCACAAGAGCATTTGCTTTGTGACACATAAACATGTCAAGGGGTCTCACAGCTCAGGAATGATGAAGATGCATGAATGAAAAAATGGAAGAGCTGGAGAGGGAATAGCTGAAGGACAAGAATAAAGAAAGAAAAGCTCATCCACCTTGGAAACTCAGTGCACACTCAGGATCCTGGTGGTGGTAATTGATGGTTGTGTCCACTTCTTGGAAAGAGGCACTGCGAGGCATTCTCTCGCAATCATTTGGGTACAATGGACAATGGATAGCACCATCTCGAGACAGGGGGTGGAAAGGCTGGTGGGAGGGGCTCCTTCTTAGAACTTTTAGGGAGGAATTCCTTTCAGGAATGTCTGGCAGCAGTTCACTGATGAGACGATGCAATATACTGTTATCTGGCAAACTTCCTCTTCTCTTTTCAGCTTTGATTTGGTCGCAGATATCTTTAAGGGCAGAATCCAGAGCCTCAAACACAGAGGCTTTGCATTTGGCCTTTTCAGCTTGCTTTTTGGGAGTTACATTTTTTTTCCTCCTGAAAGGCACAGGGCTGACCAGAAATGCAAGTTTAGACAAGCCAGGGTCCAGGTCTTGTCTTCTGGGTGGTTCGATGTTTTCATGTTTGGCTCTTTCGTGTTTTAGCATGGTGGTGAATCGAGTGTAGGAGGCGGGGCACCGGCCTTTGCAGGAGCTGATGAGGTGTCGGTGATGGTGGTGGTGGTGGTGATGGTGGTGGTGATGGCTGGATCCGTAGAAACTTTCCGAGGAGGTGAAGGAGAAATGATCAAAGTCACTTTCGCTGCAGAAGGAGGACCCTTCCACGTGAATGTAGTCACTGTGGTCTGACACGACTCCATCCTGGTCACTGTCGGAGAACTCGACGTGAGCCCTGGGCTGCTCGTCGCTGGTGACTTCAATGTGAACGGGCACCAGGGTTTTCGACGAGTAGCTTCGTTGAACCTGCGAAGTGTGTCTGCTTGGAGTGTCTTCTTCCAGCAAAGACTCGATGGAAAACCGCCTCTTGGGACACAGACCATTCTGTTGGGGCTCTAGAGTTATGGGAGATAACGTTTCATCTCCTAAATTTGGCATCGATTTGGACTTTTGGATCAACTTCTCGAATTCGGAGATGCGGGTGGGTACCATGTCTCTGGGCACCTCCTCCGTGGAAGACTGGCTCCAGCCCTGCAGCAGGCCTTGCAGCTGCCGCTCCTTTTCATACTGCAGGATTCGCGACTTCACAGAGCAGATCACCTCCGAGTTCATCAGATCCTTGCGGTTGATGCGATGCATCTTCTTGTACATCTTGAGGAATCCGGGGGCATTGTGCGCCGCCCTGTGCCTGGTCCTTGGCCTGCCGTTACCGTGACCCTCTTGGATGTAGGGAGATGCCCATACCTCTGAACCGTTCTCCTTGGAGTCTTCTTCGCAGAGAAGGGAGCCCATACTTTCCGATTTGATTTTAGGGTCTGGAAAGCTATCACAGTCATCATTTAAGAGGTCGTCACAGCTCCGGGATTTGATTTTGGGGGACACCGTTTCTTCGGTGCTGCTCCAGATCTCTGCATTTTGTCGGGCCATCTGCCAGCCGTTCTTGAAAGTGATGGCCCTGGCAGAATCCCGGGGGACATCCAAGTGCTGTCTATACTTGCTACAGTACTCTAACTCACTGCAGGGGGCGCCGTTGAGCCCTGAGTAACTGCAAAGGGATGGACATAGGTTGCTATCATCCCCACCTTTCAATCCAGAGCAGCATGGCAGGAAAGAGACATTGGGAGAAGTTAAAAGGTTCACCAAGAGAGGAGAGCGTGTCAGTATCAGACAGCATAGCAAAGAGAAGGCAGTTAGTGTGGTATACTCTAGACATGATTGTTAACACACCGGAGAGTGGGGGGAAAAGTCTAATTCTAAGGCAAGCTTGTACTTTTTCAATGAAGATAGCTCTGCAGAGTTCAAAGTCAGCATATAATGCACCTACATGCCACCAGGAGCCAGTACACCTAATTCGTATTGCATAGTTCTTGTATCTCTCCATCAGCATGGTGGGCAGATCATAGCACCTCTTAAACAGATAGTATGATGAGATAGAAGTTTCAAGGCTTAACAATTAAATTAAATAGGGATAGGATTTGTGGTTCATTTGACTTAAGTTGGTAAAAAGTAATTTGAAAATTTACATTTAACAAATTGTAATTATAATAATTTTCCTTGGATTGTCAATAGAAAAAGCCATATGACAAAAGGATTTTGTCAAAATTTGGTAATAGTTACGATCAATCGTTTTTCCTGGAAAATAACTCTGGCCTCTTTAAACAAAATAATTTTTGTAAGTTGTTGATACCCAGCCTTTTATTGCATATATTACTCACATAAAGATAACTGGACAGAATGTAAAACTATCTGAGGTAAATGCATCATGCTTTCTTTCTCTATTTTCTTAGAATCATTTGCAATTGGATAATTGGAAACCAAACTAGAAAACTAATTGAAATAAAGCCAAATTTTACATCAACTTAGATTATCTGTGGAAATATTCTTTTGCTTTGCAGAGTTAAGTAATAATGGAGAGACTAAATCACATGTCTCGAGATTGCTTCCTCTTAGCAATAAAACATAGGGGAGGAACATATCTAATAACAACTTAAGAGTTAAGATCTTCCCGGAATTCTTCAAAGTACGTAAGCACATTAAATAGATATATAGTGTTTGGAAAAGGAAGTTGACTTGATACTCCTTATGATAAAATAGTTACCCAAATTCGTCAAAATCCTTTTAACTTTTGGGTGGTATCCAAGAATAATAAATCAATACAATTTCATAACCAACTAGTTACTTTAAAGCATAGGATCTAATAAAAGAATCACTGTTCATGAAGAAAGGTATAAAGAATGATCTCACTAAAGAATGAGTCTTACTCCTTCTGACCATCCAGTTACTACTCAGAGCTTTGACCAGGCCTTAGGAAATCTCAGCTTCTTTCACCTACCCAGAGTCTGTCTGTCCATCACAACTAGTCTATCTCTCACCCATGAGATAGCCTGGTTACCTTTAACTATCATGTAATTTGTTTGTCTAACATTGGTATGTGGAGCTGAATCTGTCTTAGTTCATGGAAACTTCCGTTAGTGTACATTTTCTGCACACATTTTAAAATTCCTTCTTCCTTCTATTTCAGCTTCAAGAGACTGGAAAAGATTGGAGAATCCCAAAATTTGAAGGACCTTAGATCCACAAAGATGGAAGTTCAATTCTTACTCTCCATCTCAGAAATCTCCAAGGCAATAATGCACTCAATGATCCTCTAAACTAGTGACATGCTCCCTTTCCTTAGCTTACTACATTTCCAAAGAAGAGACAGATCAGCCAGGAAAGTGGCTTGTTGGCTTCTAAATTTTGTAACTGTGGCTTAAAACCACTTATTTCACACTATTGTGAGTTGACCACATGTTAGATGGCTCAATGTGGAAATTCTAATATAGATATATAAAAGTGGATCAGAATATAGATTGAATAAAGAAATGACTTTGATTAGATGAGAAAACTCCCATCTACAGTATAAAGAAACCAATGAATATGTTAGGCAATAACTTTTTCTGTTACTACTTAAAATTCTTAGCTCAGAAATTTAATTCATTTGCTGCTATAGAAACATAAGAAAATTTCAGCTATTTCTAAATGCTCATAAATGTCATCTTTATATATGTGACTAGTTATTTCATATTTTGACATTGTTTAAAAAAACTAGTTGGGGGACAAAACACAGATATTAGTCCAAGTCCTTGAAGCTACACAAATAGCTCGTCAACTAGAATCTGTTACATTATTCAAAACAATAGGTAAAAAAGATAGGTAAAGGAGCACATATCATTGCTACTGGATCGGCTCTCCCGACTGTAGTCTAAATCTAGAACTAGAACATTGCTGTGTTTACTCATTCTTGCTCACCTTTTGCTCTTGAAGGAGAGGAAGGAGAAGAACTAATAAAAGACTTGGTAAGGGTGGCGCTTGATCCTGGGAGGTCCCGATCTGCGCTGGTCCTGCTTTGCTCTGCTAAGCCCCTAGGTGGCCCCACTGTAGGCTCGCTCTTCCTCCGTTTCCTAAAGTCACTGGCCATGCTTGCAGAGCTGAAAGAGGAAGTCAGCATCAGTGTGTTCACAACAGGAGAAGAGGGTAGGTTAGCATGTGCACTAGAAAGACCTGTGGGATACGCTAGAGTTGGTGGTGTCATTTCCCAAACCTCCACTCCCCCAAACTTCCTGTGTTTTGAAGGACTCAAAATGATCTTATTAGAATTCAATTGTTTTTTTTTTTTGGCATGAGGTATGATACATTGTGAACTATATAAGGAATTCTATTTTTTAAAATGTCTTTTAAAGATTTTTATTTTACAGACATAGCTTTTTTTTTTTTTTAAAAAAAAGCAATTTCAAGCTTATAGAAAGATTGCCTAGAATGTATAGGCCCTCCATATCTGTGGGTTCTGAATTTATAGATGTAATTGTAATTGGAAATAATTTTTAAAAATTGCATCTGTACTTATTTGGGCAGTACTCTTTAAGAAATACAATATAACAATGATTGTATCATTTTACCATATTCACACTGTATTAGTTATTATAAGTACAAATATTTATTTCCAGGTATACTATAAAATGTGAGCAGGTTGTACAACTATTATGGTAGTTATTTAAGAGACTTGAGCAGCTGTAGATTTTGGTATCCTTTGAGTTCCTAGATCCATCCCTTGTAGGTATCAAAAGACAATTATATAGAGAATCTCTCTCTCTCTCTCTCTCTCTCTCTCTCTCTCTCCTGTGCACCCTTTTCTCTATTATTTACATCTTATATGACACTTTTGGGACAACGGGTGAGTCTATTTTTGACTTGTCTTTATTTAAATCTAGAGTTTACACAGAGATCATCCTTGCAGATGTTGGAGTAACATTCTTTTATTTAAATCATGAAAAAGCTAGTGATAAAGTAAATTATTAAAAGATCCCTTTTACCCAGATTGTATAAAATGATGTTGATGGTCTAAAATGGCAGAAAGTGAGTATCATAACATTTAGGAAAACATTTATGAGCAAAGGATCCACTGTACATTGTACTGTCTGAGAAATCCTTGGATTGGATAATGGAAACAATAATGATTTATGTAAACAACATAAGGACACTGGGTAGTGTGTTACATGCTGTCTTTATATTTTCATCTTATTTAGCATCCTATGAAGATTACCACATGTCTGCAAATGAGCACATGAAACACGCATGCCTGATAGTACAGAGATAGAGCCAGACCTCTTTTTAAAGAGAATGCTGCAGCTCCCACACATGCATTTCCAAGGTTATCCCGCCATGGGAAGGTCACTGTGTCCTCATAACACTTATTAGGTCAGATCAAAACACTAGAGTTCAAACATTTCAAACATTTTGGTGCATGCAGAGATGCAAAAGGCAACATGAATTTCTTCTCCCATGATATTAATGTAAGTGGATAGCACATATGAATTCAAATTGTAAAGGGCTGAGTTCACCAAGTTTACTATTTGGATTGCTAAAAATTTACAGAATGGTAAATTTATGTGATAGAACTTTTTCTCAATGATGCAATATGTCTAAGTTTGTTGTTTAATACTGTTATTGGATGGTATCTGAATTTGGTAATATTTTCAAGTCAGTGTGACATTGAAAGTATAGTAACACAATTACTTTAGTCAGAATCTGAATGTACTTCAAACTACCTTGGTTCAATTCTGTTTTTCCTCTCTCTTTCTAGCTATGTAAACTTGGGTTACTGAGTCTAAGAGTTAAGGTTCTTTAGAGACCAGTAGCAACAGTGATATTTAGATCATAGTAGTGTCTTTGGACTGAATCATATCTAAGCTTAAAATGTAAGCTTAGATAATGTAAGACATTATTTATTGCTAGTAAAAGCACTTGATTTATGTGGTCAGAATATAATTAATAAATATGCACATAATAGTTTCTATAAAAATTTTATAAGTATATTATTACCTGACAATTACCTGAAAATTACTTATTATTACTTATCATTTCCATTAGAATGAAAGAACACTGGGTATATCAGAGACAAGAAAAGAAAAATTTCATTCATTTGGAGAGGAATTCATAATTATTTCACTTATTTTTATAAATCCTTGGATATTATATGAAGTAATATGTGAAAATAAATAAATTTCATGAATTATGGCATTTAAAATAAAAATGAATGATATGTCATTTCACTGTCATTGCACTGAGTGAAGTCAATATTGAAAGAGAAGCTACTGACTTTGACTTTTCTGGTTGTGAATGTACTGAGATTCTTACCTACTGGGCCTTTCCAAGCTTCTGTCTATAGAGGACTGATATACAGAGGCCTGTTAAGATAGAATAATAGATCCATGAGTTATTGCAATAGCAATTTTCACTTGTCTGACAACATTAGGTTAGATTGCTGAAAGAAATGTTACAAACATCAAGATTAAAAATAACATTTATTACTATTTTAAAGATGTCTTCCCAAGGAGAAACTGTGCAACCTGATTTCACTTTTTGTCCTGTCTTTTTTTCTTTTCTGATATACTAAATTGCATTTCTCGATGCAAAACAAGCTAATCACATCCCAACAATTCACTGACTAGAAGAAAAAAGAAAAATGAGCATTTTCTCAGGAATACTGAATTGAATAAAGAGTGAAGATATTCTGTACCACTGACTCAAAAACTTTGCTCATAGACTGATGGGAGGTGGAAATACCATACATAAATGCGTGTTTTTTAAAATATATTTTCCTTCACCATTAAATCTTTTTGAAATATAAGCCTTTATAATTTTGTTCTTATTGTGGGGAGTTATCTTTAAAATATAACATATAAACAAACTTGAGATACCTTTCATCTGTCAATGGAGGCTTGATATTTTAATAAAACTTAACAGGATCTGTCTAAAATAAACTCTAGAATATAACAAATTATAACCTCTTCAAATGGTACTTAAACATTTCCTCTATTCTGGGCAGTACATTAAAACTGAGAGCATACAAAACTGATAGAGGTATGTAGTTTTCATTTCCCATGAGCTCCACTGGGCCAATTGTTGAGGTATCTAAGATGAGAGGGCTGGTGCTGAGCTCCTCTACATATTGGAGCTGACAATATATGATGCAAGTATCTGTGCTTCAGTCCAGGATGCAAAGGGAAAGGTACACTGACTAAATCCACCTTGGGCTTTGATCATAGTCATTGCTCAGTTCATCATGATAGACCAATTGTGCCTTGTTGAAAAACTGCAATGTTAGTTTGAAAATGTTTATCTATGGAAAGTTAAAAAATATCAGTTAGAAAGGGACAATTTCTCAAAACTTATCTTAAATTCTTACCACACATACACATTTCACAGAATATTATAAGTTATATAAAGGCAATTAATCCTCACTGTACAAGCGACTTCATAATTATTTCTATTAAATGCCAAATCAGTATCAATTAGTGTCAATAAATCAAATTAGTACCAGTTAACCAAGTAAACATTAGTGTGTAAATTTGAAATTTTTTATGCAGTTCAATCTGCCAAGCAGCCTAATGGATAGCTGTAAAGTTGCATCTACTAACTGCCATCTGAATTTGATTCTATTTTCCTGAATGAAAATGCAACCATTCCATAGACAAAGAAAGACCTCTCACAGGACAATGGCCTCCTCATTTTAGACACAAGAAGCATATTTAGTTCCTAGATAATGTTAGAGTATAAGGTTCTCAACAAATAAGAAATTAGAGGAAATGATCTGCTGGTAGGATAAGTTTATGTGATTATTTTAAGTTGCTAAATAAATTAAAATAATTAGCACACTGTGAATTAGACACTAGGAAGGAAGAAAAACTTAAATAAGAAAGGAAACAATCAAGTTAAAAATAAAAAGAGATATATTATGATTTAGAAATTTTAATTCTACATCTTTGCAGAAGAGCAATACCAAGGAGTTTCAGAACATGCCATTGGTGTGTATCAGAGTTGTCATGGGAAGCCAAACAAACAGCTCATCACCAAAAAGTCTCTAGTTCAGACTCCTCTTGTAACACCTCTAGAGAGATTAGAAATTCTGACTTGTCCATTTGTGATGAGGTTGAGCAATAGTATAATATGAGATAAAATGTTGTGTAGAGTTATTAAGTCAATTGTATTTTTATTTTAGCCTAGGAAACTCCAATTATTCATTCTGTGCTGGTTCTCACACACAAAAGAAACGAAAACTTGTTTGTTATTATGCATAGATACAGAAAGTTCAGTATTAAATTTTACTAAAAGCATAGATTGATGACACAAGAATAACATAGAACTTCCCAACATAGAAATTATCTTCAGTAAAGAGGAAGTTTGTTTACCCCTGATTTTCTCCTGAGTATTGACATATTACTATTATTTTTAACACATCCACCATGCCATTTCAGTAAGGTATAGATACTGAATCACTGTAAAATAATTATGTGATTAAGCTCTCCTTAGAAGTTCTTAACTTTTCATTAGCTTAAGTGTTTCAGTTATATTTATGCATTAAAAAGTATGATGTTTGTGACATATTCCAGTCACTTAATAAATTATAGTTGAGCTAATCTTTGCCAGAAAAGACTATCAAAGAAGAAAAATGAAAATATCTTATGGGAATATATTTGCTTCCATGTTGAAAAACTATGATCTTAAATAAATAACATAGATAATGTGTCATTAAAATCATAAAAATGTCTGTCCCAATTCTTAAGAGATAATGAAAAATAGTTTAAATACCAGTAAAGGGCTCTTGGATGTGATTATTTTTGCCATTACTGAACATTAAAGAATGTGCCAAATTAAGTTTCTCCTGTTTCAATGCTTAAGAATTATTGTTCAATTTTCAGTTTCAAGATTCGTTTCACATAAATTCAGCAGAGAAAGTATTAAGTAGTAATTTGTTTGAGAAAGCTCACGCTCTAAATCTTTTGGATGAGGTTAAAAATGTTATAAAGAAAACGGCAATGAAAAACAGGCTGAGAGGTCAGTACTTATTTTCTTGGTAACTATCTTACAATGATTTTGGACATGTTTCTTAAAATTGTTAAGACACACCTGTTTCAACTAGCAAATGAGTGAATGGACATAATGCTTTCTAAATTCCATTTCCATTCTCAGTGAGCCCACAGTTTTCAATCGTACTGTGATTTAAACTCACACTTGCTAGGAAGGTGCTCTACCATTTGAACAGCACTGTTTCTCTCCTTTTTCCCGATTTTTCTTGCTTTAGTTATTTTTCAGATAGGATCTTTCAGTTTTGACAAAGTTAGCTTAGAGTCTTGACCCTCTGAGGATCAAGGATCCTCTTGATCCAATAATTTTACATCCTAGAAAGATTTCACCAAAATACCTGAGAAAAATGTCACACCAGTCGAATTTCAAAATAAATTCTTAAGTTATATTCAAATGCTGAACTGATAGCATTTCTTCATATAAAAAGATAACATGCAGAGTAGAATTGTGTGTTTAATTTTCTCTAGAGAATATGCTAGAAAACAAAATATAAGCCTAGAAAAAAGGAATAACCCAGATTGCTCCTTATTGTTCCATTTTACGTTTTATTTAATACTTTTTATTTAATTGCTGGCTACTTCTTTGTTTCAACACACTCTGATTCTTATTACAAGGATATAATTTGGAATTGTAAATGGGATCTCTAGAAATTGAGGTTGTTTGTCAAGGCTTGCAATTCCAGAGATTAACACTATGTGTCAGTTCTCTTCCTACAACGTAAGTTTTCAATTAGTTTTGTTTCTTAGTTGTACACATTTAATCGAGTGAGGTCTTTTCGTGTAGATGTTCATGTGCTGCATTAATTTAAGACAATAGAGCAAATAGTATGAAAAATAAGTTCGTTCCAGTTGCTCCTATCCTAGCTGCTTCTGAGAGATCCTACAAAGAAGACTTTTTTACATGAGAGCTAACAAAACGGCACCATTTTTACTTTGTCTTCTAATAGCTGTGTATTTTTAAAAATAATTTTCCTATTTTCTTTGTAGATATCAGTGTTTGATTCAGGACCATTTCTGGGATTTATTTTCAAATTTGCTTTGCCTATTGCAAATTAGGCAAACTTACATGAACTGGCATAACTGTTTTCACTTAGCAATTTGGCAAAAACATTCTATTGTTATTATTGTTGTGGGCTTGAACTAGGGGGTTGGGTGCTCTCCTTGAGCTCTTTTTCTCAAGGCTTGTGCTCCACCACTTTGAGTTAAGGCTCTCTTTCTGGCTTTTGAGTGGTTAATTGAAGATAAGAGTCTCTCTGGGACTTTTCTGTCTGGACTGGCTTTGAACCATGATCTTCAGATCTCAGCCTCCTGAGTAGCTAGGATTACAGGCATGAGCCACCAGCGCCTGATGGCACCATCATTCTTAAGTAGAGATTTAAAGTAAAATTTATCACATAAACCATTGATGATATGCTAGAACAGCTTCCTGAATTGCAGAATGTAGGGAGATTAGTGATGTCTGTCAAAGGTGGGGACTTGGGACATTGTAATACCTGCCAGGTATTTGTCATCCCTATTCTTGATTGATAATAAAACTCACAAGTTATAAGTATTTAGGAAAATGAAAGAATAAGTACACATTTTAGGCAAATGTAGGGCAGGGCATCTAAGAACCTAAACTCCTAATCTATATGGCCCTAAACTTTATAATGAGGTGGCTTTTAGCTTTGTAGTTGTAATTTACTCAGTCTAATAAAAAAGTGTTTTATATCCATATATATATATATATCCATATATATATATATATGCTATGGCTGATACTATTGAGTTTTGATTTTCCTAGTACTGAATATGAAAGCTGCATTAAATAGCTTAATTAAAACTCATAGCTAGAACAATTCTTCACCTGACATTCAGAAAAAGCCAATCTGTTTGGAATAAAAAATGTGTAAAGCTACAGTGGACACAACACAATGATACAAAGACAGATTTTGAAAACTAACTGAGACATTACAGCAGACTATAAAACATGAAGCTCAGATTCACAATAACAGCCCCTCCAGAGAACTCTGAAAAAAGAGAGAATAAGTTGTTTTTACCTCATTGGAAACACCAGGAGAATGATCTTGAACATAGTCCAGAGCCTTTTTAGGAGGCTGGGTGGAGACGGAACCACATAAGCAGAAGTTCAGAGATGGAATGGAGGAGAATCAATGGCAGCAAGGAGTGAACATGGAGAGAAGGTGACAACAGTTAGAAATTGAGTGTTGAGAGCATCAGATACACATACAGAGGAACACAAATGGAGCAAAATGGGGTAGCCTAAGAGGAAGAGTACAGTGTTTGTAACTATTCTCAAGCATTGGGCAAAATTGCTGGTGTTTGATTAGTATATTTATAAAACTCATCTCATCAAATAAAAAAATGAATACTCCTAGGCTTTGGCCACAGAGGGGTGCAAGTACATTAAAGAAACATTAAAAGAGCAAGTGGAGAGCATGCTAGTCAGTTTCCCTTGTGTGGCTGAAAATGATGATAGAAAATGAGAATCCTTTAGGCTCAGTGCAGAAATTGGCATAGTCCCTATAGACTCTCGGCCATCAGTAACAACACACATAAAACAAAGCAATGCAATGGATTCCCTCTGAAATAAAATGCGTTGATAGTGATGCTAGATACAGCTTAGAGAAAAATAAGAGTAATATTTCTCTTATTAAGTTCTTTGTTTATATTTGTTTATAATCATGTTTGATTCAGTTTGACAAAATGTAATGAATCTAGACAAATGTCTTTACATTTTTTAATGGATAAAACCCATAACTACCCAGTATGTAACAAATGATCAGAACAAAGTGTGTATCTTAAAAGTATATCATGGGGTCCAGGAATGATCAGAAACCTTTGACTTCTACTCAAAATTGCTTTACAGTGTAGTTGACACGTTTTGAACAGTTGAAACCTTATAAAACATGTGACTGACACATCAAATTCACTGCTTTTGGCAGGCATAAATCCACACTAAAGGGAGTTGTAATTTCAAGCTTGAGACCAAGCAATTACCCTAAGGTTCAATCAGGGAATTTTCTCTGGTGGGGGTCTGGGAATAATATAATACTAAGACTAGAAAAAAAGTTCCACAGGAGTTTCTGTTTTTTTTCTTTCTTTATATTCTTATTGTCAAATCTGATATTTTATAGTAGGAATAATCTGGTAGTATATTAGAGTGATAATTGCCCAAAAAGTGGGTTTTTTGTTATCATTAGTGGTTTTTAACAGGCTTATGATTAACTTCCCATTTTGTGAGTTACAAATTTGGGCAAATTTCTTGATCCCTTTTGGTCCACTTTATTCTTATTAGAGGATTAATCTAGTGAATCAGAACCAAGCCCAGTACTCTGAAATGGTTTGGTGATTCCTTAGCACATAGTAACCATAGTAATTATTATAAATGGCCATGGCTTATTGTTTGAAGTAGACCAAAATGAACTGTAAACACATACACATTTTCTATAAAGTTTTAATAATTCCTAAATATTCCAAGCAAGAAAGTGCCTTAACGTGTTAAATTTGCAATTAATTAGATATAAAGTAATTCCAATTGTGATTTGGTAAAGCCATATATGAGATGTGAGGCCACGTCGACTCATCAAAACAGAATGATATTTGTGTACATTTTCTGGGTTCAGCTCTTTTCTCTGCATGACACACCTCCTTCTTCCAATAACGATATATTTAATAAGCCAAACAACATTTTCCTATTTGTCTTATAGTAACAGACTAGCCTCACTTACCGGGCGTCCAAACTCCAGTTCTGAAAAGAATTTATACCAGGGCTCATTTTCTAAATCTATGTCATCTGGATTTATGCGATCAGTCTAGAGCAGATGTGAAGGAAAAGGGAAGGAAAAGGCACACTGAGCGAAGTGAGGGACCCGGCGTGTGATGAAAACCACCGTGCATTCATTCACACACAGACCTGCACCCGCTCTCATTCCCACGCACCTCAGCAGGAGAGAGAATGGAAGAAGCAAAGTAAAATGAATAACATTAGGAGATGAGGGTGAGTGCCCATGGCTCTGCTTGCATCCCTTGCTAGTTCCTCGGCTCACCATTGCTAATCCTCTCCTTGGCTTGATAGAGGAATGGAAAATTCACCAGGGCAGGGACAATGGGCCTTGGGTTGTTAAAAATACTCAGGGTTACAATGGACTCAATTCAGGCACCGAAGGGTTTTTTTTGGGGGGCCAGTCACTCCATGATCCCTCTCCCCCTGATGGCTGACTGGCAGTCTCAACACAAGGGGCTGAAATCTAGGGACAATCCCCTCCGGAGGAGAAGCAGGCATCTGGGGAGCCCTGGGGTGGGTCAGGGAAAAGTGGGGCGAGGAATCAGAGGTAATGGACAGGTCTGTTGGCGTGATGGAGACTCCCCAGGTCCTAGTCTCAAGAAAAAGGGTCAGCCTGGCTCAGTCTGATTGGCTCAGTTTCCTTAGCCCTTGGACAACCAAGGCTACCTTTGATCTTCAAGCAGGCAGGCAGGGGTGGGGGTGGTGGATTGGAGAAGGAAGGAGCTCACCCGAGTGGGAGAGAGCGCAGGGCCGCAGGAGCCAGGCCTGGGGATGGCACTCCGGGGCGGAGGGGAAGGGCTACGTAGCCCTTCTCCCACTTCTCCGTAGGGCGAGCTGGAAAGAGGCTTCCGACCGGGTTCCCTTGGGACAGGTGTCGGAGATGTTGGGAGAGGGGGCTGAAAAAAAGAGGGGTGATGGAGATGCTGATTGATTAGACACTGATTCCGTGGGGCAGGGCCTTGTCTCCTGCTTTAAGTCTGGGAGAAAGGAAACAAGCAAAACAGGCCGCAATGGCCCCTGGTGGAGATGGAGATGAGATTTCTCAGGGATGGTCTGGACCCCTGAAAAGATGGGGAAGATCAGGACCTCCTGGAGAGCGAGGAGAGATCTCCTTTCCTAAGACACCTCAAGGTGGACCTTTTACATGCCTACTTTGGATAGGCATGTGAGGAAGCAGGACTTTCACAGTAGGTTCGGTGCATGGCTAGAGTCCCAGAAGGAGTTGGGGTGCAATCCCATCTTGGCTTCTGGGTCTTTCTGATTTAGAGAAAAATCTAATTTTTATGATATATGTATATATATATATATATACATACATATATATATATATTGCTCAGATCCTCAGGGATTTTCTGAATGTTGTAGTTAAGATGGAAAAACTAAGGGTGTTAAAACAGTTTGAGAAATTCTATCCAGTTTCTTCAGTAATAGAAACCAGACACCCTTCCATAGCCCAGTAATATTCTTAATATATTCACATAATACATACTTGGCTAAATTGATCCAAACTGTAGATTTTATATAAATCCTGGGCACTTAAAGTGATATATGTGCATTGCTACTTCTTTAATATTATTACGTGAGCTTAAGTAAATGTGATACTTCTGAACTATATAGTATATTAAGTAATAAAAGTTCTGAAAAATTATTTGGTTCCCCTCGCCAGGAGACAAACTGACTCTAGGGACTTATTTCCAGAGAGTTCTTAAGCCATCAGTACTTTGAAGCCATTCCATATTATTTTCATAGGATTCCAAGTCTTCCAGTTCGTAATTACAACTCAGAGCTGAAAGAAATGCTCTATAACTTTTGCACTGTTGGAAGCCTTCAAACATTCCATAGTCCAACAAAAGTCACTATTTGACATGAACTTGTTATAGTGTTTTATTAACTTGTTACATTTATAATAGTCTTGATAATGATACATAGTCTATGTTGAGTGATAAATTATACTCCAAGTGTTTTCTGTGAGGTAGCTTAGTCTTAGTGTAGCTTAGTTTCAGTGCTTTATAATAGAAGATTGTAAAAGTAACTACACATAAGGCTAGAAAACTTTGAGCATTGTAATGTAATAGTGCAAAGGTCTAACTTATCCAACATTTGTAGTGATCATTATAATGACTTTTGTAAGTCTGGGAAATGTTTCTGAGAGGACACAAAGTGTTAAAAGCAATATAGCCATGCACTTGTACAGTAGTTAGGAAGACACTGCAAGCTGCTCTTTCTCTGATCATAGTAAAGAAATGCACAGAAAGAATATTCTATCCTACATGAGAACATGTTGCAGAAATCCTGAGATATTTTCCCTTTTATATGCCAGTATCATTTTCTACTTACATTTCAGAAGTAACAGGTTCATAGAAAGAAAATATTCAAGTAACTAATCTACTATTTTAGAATTAATTAAAAAATTTATTTGGTAGCTGCAAAGGCACTAAGACATGGCTATTTATTGAATATCATTTTACTTCAAATATTTTTTAGCTTATAAAAGTAATTTTTATTGGGTGACAGTAAAATAATAGCAATAATAGCAATGGTATTTATTTATTTAGTGTCATTTGTTTTTGCACAGAGGTTCACCACTTTACCTATACTTATTGCAAATATTTAGTCAATTTTATTTATTTTATTTATTTTTATTTTTGGGTCCGGTTGTGGGGCCTGAACTCTGGGCCTGGGCGCTGTCTCTCAGCTCTTGAGCTCAAGGCCAGCGCTCTGCCACTTGAGCCACACCACCTATTTAGTCAATTTTAGATGACATATATAATTATTTCAGAGGATTGTTTTTCTGGAGCTGTTTCTCAGCTTCTTAACATTTGAAATTTCTAGTGAATTTTGCTCTTTAGAGAGGCATACTATTTCTTTTAAAGGAAATTAAGCTCTAATTGTTTCAAATGCCATATATTCTCATATTGATGTAGTTTACCCTTACTAATCCTTGATTTTTATGATCTTTGCTTTCAGGTACAGTAATTTGTTTAGCTAAGGAGGGAAGAGAGAAACATCTTGGAAGATACAAATTTGCTTAAAAATTTAAACAGCAGAGGGCAGTAAGGTGACTAAACCCAGAAGTGTAGCCATTTCCATTCTAACTTCACTGCGACTTGTACCTTAAGAACAATGTACAACAAATGAATAGATTAAATTCTGGTCCATCAAATCCTTTTATAAAAAATTATGGGAAAGGGATGAAAACATTTATCATTCTACATCATAGTAATCTCTTAATAATTACATGCTTCTCTGCTAAAATCCAACTTACAGGATGCCACTAATTAAGATCTATGATGATAAATAACAGAAAAAAAAAACACTCTAAGTAATAACGACCACTCATCAATAACTTTGGGACATGGTGAACCATAGACACATGAACAGAACCTTTAAAGAAAGTCTAAATGGCAGGACTGGAATAGAATTGACTAGTTGAATCTTTTAAATAATATAAAAATTAAATATATTATACAGCAGTTCAGGGCTACTAAAAGGGCACACAAAAACCTCACAGTGATCAGTGAAACACAGGCAAACAGGCAACCAACAGAAGTGGATATATGATAATAATCTCACTAATTCAATAGTTCCCTCTTTAATACAGAAGTTCCTTTGTGTCTTGTATAAATATTTACACTTAAGAAAAATTGCATTTTAGCTATTCATAGGCCTTTTGATGCTTATCTTTGTCTGATTTATTATTATGTGTAGACTTGGTAATTGCAGGGAAAGTTAACATTTCCATTTTTTAAATTTTACTTATTTTATTTAGTTTTTGCTTGTGTGATACCAAGGAATTGAACCCAGGGCCTCATGCATGCTAGGCAAGCACTCTACCACTAAGCCACATTCCCAACCCTTATTTTTTTAATCTTATTAAACAGAGTTCCCCAAAGAAATATTCTCTTAAAATTAGAAAAAAGTTAGCTTAGCTCCTTTTTAAGTATATACAACTTAGATGAGATATAAAGCCTTTTATTCTATAATTTCAGTAAAGACTGTTATAATTGTCTCAAGATAAATAAACTGTGGAAATATGTTTCTGACTTGTGGAAAAACCAGTTAAACCCCAGGTGACTAAAAAGTCCTTTTTTGCATCAAACATTAAATCTACATATAAATCTATGACTAAGTGAATATTTATGTGCTTCAAAGAAGTGCCCTTACTTTCTATTTCTTATTAAAGAACATAAATTCATATGCCATGGATGCCCAAAGAAGAACTGATTTTTTTGGGGGGGGCAGGATTTGGCAAGATATTTGCCTAACCACTGTTGCCCTCTCCACTTCCCTTGTACTCCAGGGTAAGAGGGAAACTGTGAGCTACAGTTATTAATGACAGAGTGTTGATTCTCCTGTATACTTTGATGAAGCCTCATTGGACCTTTTATAACTGGAAATGTACAGATTTCATTGATGAGTACTAGAATAAAGATCCAGTCTTGCCCACTAACTGCAAAGGTAAAGCCTATACTCATTCCTCATGTTATGCCCGACATTGTGCTAGGTGTGAGACACAAGCTCACAGCAGACAAGATCCCTATGAAGGTCATAAACAGGTGAGCTGACCATTACAGCCCAGTATGGAAAAGCTATAAGAGTAAGGGACCACAATTAGCCAACGGTGCACAGTTGGGCCAGCTTAAGCCTCGTATTGAGAAAGAGCAAGTCCAGAGAGAAAATGGGACTAAGCTGGGATGAACTTTCCCATGAGAAAGGAGAGGTGGCCGCAAGGGCTTCCTGGAGAAGAGAAGGCACCATCAGAAGTCCAGCAAAAAGGGGATTGAAAGTTCCATGTCTGTGTAGCACAGGGAGGGAGAAGGGAGGGGAGAGAGGTGAAGCTGGGGTCATGTTGGGCCAAATATAAGGCTGTTTTTTTAAATAATTCAATAAATTATGTGAAGGGTTTGGATTTTGCAAGAAGAGGAGGAGCAAATTTGGGGCTGAAGATTTCATACAGATTTTCTCAAGATTTCTCTAGAAGTGGTATGGACACTGGACTTGAGGATTAGAGAAATAGGTCAGGTGCCATTGTTAACCAGACAATGGGTAATTTTGAACTGGAAAAGGGAAATGGGTAGGATTCGCTGTTCATTTGAAGAGAGAGGAATCCATACGATACCTAAGAAAAATTGGGCAGCTGGAGGGGTTGTCTCAGAATGCTAAAGCACAGTTCAAAAGAATTTCTAGCTGGTGTGTATAACTTTCAAAAATTAGAAACAAAACCCAAAAAGAAAGGATCTCATGTTGCCACAAGTAAAAAAAGACACCTTGAAATTCCTAACACTTTCCCTTTGCTGTTATGTCCTCTTCATCTTGTATGGTCATGACACCTAGTTCCTCTGTCAACTACATTAATATGTAGCCAGTCTCTGCCACCTCACTGTTGATCAAGCCCTTTATGTTTCTGATTTATACAGGCAACTGGGATTAATTTAAGATTGATTAATTTAAGATGTGATTAGACATCTATCTGATTAGACATATATAATATAATTAGACATCTGTGTGCATATGATATATGTCTAATCATATACTAGAAAGATTAGTCCTATAACAAAAATACTTGGTGCAAATAATATACATGACTTGCTCAATCCATTTTCATAATACTGGCACCAGCAACTTCAGGAAAAACAGAAGGCTTTTTTCTTCCTATTGCTTCATAAAATATCCATTCTTTTTTTCCTACCACATTTTTAGGTTCCTTTTACTTTTGTTTTTCTATGACTGTAGGAATTTGAGTCTCTAGTAAAACCCAGGACTCCTGATCATTCTTTCTTCTGAGTACCAGTTAAACATACTGATTTTGTATGATAGTTACTTAGGGCTCTGGTTTTTGTTAAAGTTAGTCAAATGCACTAATGTATTGTGATCTAGCTACTACGTAAACCCATTTATACTGTACAAAAATTAGACTAATATAAATCTTATTAGTTGGATAGTGACTGCTAGCTAAAGGCTTCCTACTGGAGTAATATGATATGGTAGTAACCAAGTAAGTGTATCAGGCTTCGTTTTACCTGACTTCCCGCATCCCCTAACTATGTGGTCCTGTGGCAGTTTTAGTACATGTTCAGACTGTTCATGTGTAAAATGGAAATACCAATGCATGTGTTTCATACGGCTGATGGGAATACTGAGATCAAGAATATATTATGAATGGTGCTCAGTGAAGATTTGGAGCTACTGTTACTGTTTTCAAAGCTCTAATCCAAAGACTTGAGGGATGTAGGAATTTCAGTCACAATGATAGAATCCATAAATGAGCTCCAGAAGAGGCACAGTGAAATGCTATAGATATGCCTCTGTTTTAACCATTTCAGGGTTTTCTTTCATGGGTTCTGTCATTGTCCTCACAAATTATTAGAATAGGCATTAAAGTTTTATACTTAAATATAAATATTTTTATGCCATTTTTATTCTAAGTAATGGTAACATTGTGATCCAAGTCTCATCTCAGAAACCTCAGCCATATTGATACTTGATCAGATGATGTAGTTGATGAGTTGTAAGTTTACAATGGAGTCTGAAAACCAGTGGATTTTTTTGTTTTGTTTTTATCAGGTTTCCTGTTGAAGTCTTGTTAATCACATGTTGGGTATGGTAAACGTTGGCCTTACATTCTACGTATGTACATAAACATGTGACTTCTTTGAGACTCCAAAAAGAGTTAACAAAGAAGATTCACTGATTCTGCTCACTGATTCTTTTAAAGTCAGGAGAAAAGTAAGTTACTATTAACATGTTTGTTGAGAAGCAGACTTGATGAGGCAGAGAAAATTACTGAGTTTTAAAGAGAAGAGGAAGACATTGATCTCCCCGAGAAAACAAAGGCCACAGAAGAAGGAATGGGCGAAATCAAAAGAAAAGAGGTCAATGAAAAGCTTTTTGTTAATGTGCATTTAGAGTAGGTAAGTGGGTTTTATCTGTCTTTTTGTTTGCATAGGATGGAAATAAGTGAAAACATATTGCCAAGTGAAATTATTATCTTGATCCATTAGCATGGCAACCAATCAGGAAGCTTGAGGCTTGGTAACCTGAGAGGGATTTAATAAGAATCAATTAAACAAACTTGTTGGAAAAATATATTTAGAAAATATCCTCTTACAGGAAAGAAATACTAAGAAGTCAAGGTGGAGGCCAAGGAATGGACCTACCAGTGTCTGTATAAACTAGCTAGATTAATGATTTTTCTCATTAGCAACCTGTAACCAGTTAATGTTACATTTATGTGTGCTTAAAAAATATACCCAATCCCATAATCAGGCATAGTTAATTATATGTTGGTGAACTCTTCCTAGGTATGTATACCTATACATATATATATGTACAAATATATATACACTCAATTCTGAGACAATAAACAAATTGAGACTCAAAATAAACACAATTTCCCAATTATATGAGACAGTAAATTACCTTTGTAATAATAATAATAATAATTGCTAAGAAGATTGAAATTCAGGTTTGTTGGGGAACCCTGGTAGCCTCACCCTATGGTATGCTAAAGAACGATGAATGCTTACGGGTCTCTCATGCTGAAGAATAGATGACTTCCCAGGTTCATATTCAAAAATACTCCTTGGTTCAGACCGGAATTTTCTGGTGTCCACTTTTCTGTCTGGAGGATCCCAGTCATGCCTAGGAATAGACAATGAATCACACATTAAAGTGATCTTATGGGCTGAATGTGGTTGTGTAATACCACTCACTATCAACTTTCAAAGGTAATTTTAGCATGGCTAAAAAATAAGCTTAATTTATGATAAATGTCACATTTATGTTTTGCTTTTTTAAATTTATTTTTCCATGTGTGTGTGTGTGTGTGTGTGTATGTGTGTGTGTGTGTTTGTATGTGTGTGTGTGTGTGTGTGTGTATTGCTAGCTAAAAACTCAATTGAAGAGTTTGTAGACAAGCAGACAGTGACTTCTTATGGACTCCCTGGGTCACTAATGGCAGCTGTGTGTGTTTGCATTTAAAGTAAGTTGACAATGTGCTCTGTGGAGCTGTGAGTTTAGTCTACCACTATGTGATTGGCTTATTAATCCACAGAGACAAGGAATCAAACACACACACACACACACACACACACACACACACACACACACACACACACACTATTTGGTCTTACTTCTTGCAAGTGGCATTTGCAAGAAGTGTATTTGCATTATGAGATGTATGGAGAACACTTGGGTCAGCATGCATAACAACAAGTAGAGTGATGGGGGTATCTCTTTGGGGATTAGCTCCGAAACACTGGAGTGGAACATCTTACTGGAATCTGCTCTTTTTCCTGAACTACTGATATTCAGAGGTTATTGAAGAAGGACTTCCATGTAAAGCTTCAATGATAATTTCAACTCAAGCATTTCCTGGGCAATTGGGACTAAAGAGAAAGGTTTCCTTTGGAGGAAGAAATGATTGATTACAAGTGCTTTAGGAAGGATTTTGTGACTTTATATATTGGGGAAATTTTGATTCCATGGAATGAAATGGAATTCTAGCCTCACAGTATGCTGGGAATAAAATCCTCTTGCTGTAAGCAAGAGGATTAGAAGCAAGTCCTAGCTTTCTGCCCAGGTTTGTTTGTTTGTTTGTTTGTTTTTTAATGAGCTAAACTTAAAGTAAAATTTCTGTTTTAGTTTCCCATCCTTATAAAATTTAGAAACCAACTTCTCTCCTCTTTCTTCAAGTAGAATCTAAGCTTTATAATACATGAAAACTCTTTGTGTTCTTTTTAAATAAGGTATAATCATATTTCTTCCCCCACATCAGAGGCTAAACACAGGGCCCTGTATATGCTTATTCAGCTGGCACACTACTACTTGAGCCATGCCTCCAGTTGAAGTTTTTGCTGGTTATTTTGGGTACAGAGCCTCGTGGATGAACTGATCTGCCCAGGCTGGCTTCGTACCAGCAACCTTTGCATCTTAACCTCCTGAGTAGCTAGGATTACAGGTGTGAGCCACTGGTGCCCAGTAGGATCAACTCATTTTTTCTGAGAGACATATTTTTTACTGTCTTATAGGACAAATAATCCATTCAGCTCTGAGTTAATTTGGGTCATTGTTTAGTAGCAAAGATACCACTTTAGATATAGGCAACTATTTCTAAGTTTCAAGAAATCATGCTTCCTAAACACAGAATTCATTGTGAGGAGATGTGTATTAAAATGAGAATTCCTTTATACATGTTATAAATTTATTTTTGTATCTTATACCTTATATGGTTATCAGTTACTTTTAATGGCACAATAGGGTGCTGAATGTGATTTTTCTGAAATGTATGTGATAGAGGATGTTAAAAACTTGTATTAATAAAAATATAAGTTTTTAATGCCTATTAGTGAATATAGCGCAGGTTTGAGATTCTGGCCACGTTGAGTTTGACTCAACTTAGTTCCAGTAGTATGAGCTGAGACAAATTCTCTGTCTCAAAAGTAGAATTCATCTCATTGCATTGGTTGATCTCATAATTAAATGATATAATATAAGAAAAGTGCTTAGTGCTTAGCTCCTAGTGAACTCCCAAAAACTTTCCTATAGCTAGAAATATTCATCATAATCCCAGTTAAAAATGACATCATAGAATTGTGTTTATAAATATTTTTGAATGTGAAGAGTAAGTACAAAAAATTTTAGTGGTGAAATAAAACATTAGAATCAGCTCCAAAAGCTGGTGGAAATGAATCACAGACAGACATTAATAACTAATGTCTTACTTAGGATTTATGAATAAAAGATATCTTATTAATAGTCCCAACACTTCAAATCTGTGGAAACCAAAAATTAATTTTCTAGTCTCTTGATAACAAAGTAGGTCAAATTTTCTTTTTCTATTTCTCTGTGTGTGTGTGTGTGAGAGAGAAATAGAAAGAGAAAGAGAGAGAGAAAAGAGAGAGAGACACACACACACACACACACACAGAGAGAGAGAGAGAGAGAGAGAGAGAAAGTTTGTTTACTTGCTTTTAGTCATCAAATCCAGATTCTGGTGTGTACCTGCTCAGCCACTGAGCTACCCTTGCCAGCCCAAGAACACAATATGTGTATGGTTTTTCTTGCTTTTTGAAGGGTTCAGGGTCCCACTTAAGGACTCCTCCTAACCCTAAACAAGTGCTTTTTTTCTTGCTGAGCTATACCTTCTCTCTCTTATATGCAATGTTGGCTCAAAAGTAGAGATTGTACTCAATGACTTTGAGTTCAACTTAAAGCACCGTGAGAGCATGGCCCATGGTGAAAACATTTGCTACCATCTCGATAAAGGGGCCAACGTGGCCTACGCACAGAACTGTAACGACGTGCACAAACTCTCTGCGTGAATGAAGCGCTGGTTCTCCTACTCAGTGATGGCAGCTTCGGCTTCATCCTAAAGGAACTATAGGTCGCCTTGGGGGAAACCGCCTTACTTTTCTGATGAAGACCGGTCCCTTGGTCGTGGTGGAACCTGTGGGGGAGGCACTGGGGAGGACGCATCCTTAAAGGCATCTGTGCCGTTGTCAGAGTGGCTTTTGGGCAGAGGTCTGTAGGTTTGGGTCTTAGCAGCAGGGTGTGACTGAGCGCTGTAGGGTGCGTTGTACAGACCTACCACCAAAAGACAACAACAGCAACAAAAAGACAAACAAAAAGAAGGAAACAACATTTTAGAAGGGCGTTTACTTGTCTACCCCTGAGAATATCCAATGATTTTGCTCAAGTTTTAGTAAGCATATGCATAATGGCCCATTGCATATTAATATTTTGATATGTATTTACTAGTCACTGTTAATTACTGATTTATTCTACATTTAGGCACTGATTATAATACAGCTTTATCAGCGATCAGTTTTGGGGGATTAATCACAATTCAAACTGGTAGTCAGAATAACTTTACAGGGACTTAGCACATTTTCTTCTTGGTCATACAAGCTAATGAATGACAGGCAGGGTTTCAGATGAAGTTTAAAAGATCCTAGAATTGCTTCAAAATCCCTGCTAATACTTAAAATACTCTCACACATGTGATTACAATGCAACAAAAATATTAAACAAGCTAGATATTTAGGCGTGAGACAGCATCATCTCTCAATAAACTTACTGTCTCTAGGCAATGAGACACAAATAGAACATTGAAACTAATTGGTAACATTTAATAAAGATCTAATGAGGAAAATATACATTAATAATGTTAGAAACATGGTTAGTTGGTCAGAGGAGGTAGTATGGAGTCCACAGGCCTGGAGTTAACTCTGAACAATTGATTGGCTTGGATAGACAGAAGAGGGTGTCAGGTACAGCACAAGGGGGAAAGGCAGAAGAGTGCAGGACACAAAGCAGGAGAAGGCTGTGCTGGCAGGAAAAAGGACTAGATAGAGTTGCTTTGAATACTGTGCCTGGCTCTGCATGCATGGTGAACTCTCTTTCAATTCACTAATTACTGATGGGTTACAAACCTCTGTTAAAGAGCATCTGGGAATTCTAAATTTCCCACAACCTCCGTTTCCTGGGCTAAATCTGTTTATACTCATCTGCTTCTCCTGCAGGTTCATGAACATTTCCACAACAAAAGCAAGTGGATTATAACTACAGTTACTCCCCCCCCCCTTCATTCTACAGGTAGACTTCAAGTTTTGAGTTAAATTAAAGGAAGCAACTTTGGTGCAAAATCAGGAATAAAGGTGGAGGAAAGTATTTTAACGAATTTCTTGCTACCATTTGAGGAACACTGGATCTAATCCAAGAGGTTATAGAGCTTTCCAAACTTGCTCTATTCATTTTCCCTACATTTGTCTTTGAGACCAGTAGCAAAATTCTTAACTTAGTTAAAGGGCTTGAGTACTGGACGTCAGGTGTCAAGGAGGGAGTGGCTTCCTGGTGTTCACTGCCAGCCTGGCAAACGGACCCCCAAATGAAGGTACAGCTGGTGGAGAACGTGTGACAGTCATGGGCCTGCATTTGGGCTGGGTGCCTGCGTTCTCTGACCCCATGCACCATTTAGAAGAAAGGTGTTGGCTCCCTTAGACTAGACTCAGGACACACTTCCCATGAAGCCAGTACATTCAAATACAAGTGCAAATGCCCGGAATTGAAGTTATTCTACTATGATCACTGGCTACTTTGAGTCAGAAAAGTGGTCCAGCCAAGAAGGAGTTTTTAAAACCTTTCAATGAATGGCTCTATTTTGGAGCAAAAGCCTGGAAAAGGGCACAAAACACTTTGCATGACTTGTTTCGGGAATTTGACGCAATTGGCAATCCCTCTCTTTGCTGACAAAAGAAGATTTTTATCTGATTTTGTAACTCCAGTCACAGCATGTTCTTTAACACTGTCCTTGGCCCTTTGGTGAAGCATTCCTGGAGCTGAGAATACACTCACAGTGAGAATGAGTGAGATAACACAGTATTAGTTCTCATACCCATGAGAAAGGATCAATCATTTTGATTATGCATGCTCTGAGAAAAGAAAGCAAGCATTTCCTAATAATAGGAAACGACAGCCCACGTGTGTGGTCAGGTAGAGAGGTAAGGCAAGTGGCAATAGTTCTTCCCAACATCCCTGATCATAAAGTAGTCATTGCAAGCAATCAAAGCCATCCTACCTGCATTGTATGTGTAAGGAGTATTATACATGTCTGTGTCATCATCTAGAAAATGAAACATAAATATTATGGCAATACAGATTCCATCACCTTGTCACAAGACAGTCGAGCTTCAGAGAGATGATACATATCTGCCAGGAAAACAATACATCTTTCCTCATGTATGGATACTATTTTGAATTTCCCAATACTGGCTTTTCCTGAGCCTCTGCCAACTGCCTTTCTGGTCTGTAACTTTCATTTACTGTGCTGCCCTGGTCAAAGCATGTAAAGCCAGTCCTTTGTTCTCCCTTCCCTAGACAGAAGTCTCTTCTGGGCCTTGATGTTTTTTAGTAAGTGATTTAAAGATCTGTTGTCCTATGGAGCAGATAGGGGAGACAGAGGAGCACTGAGTCTGTTGAAGCAGGCAACACATCAGGGTAGCTGTGGATAAGGATGGGCAGAGGTCTAAGACCAGGATGCCTGGCAATTGTCCAAGGCTATAGGCTAGGAGGTTTTTTGGCAGCCTGGGTGAGTAAGGCAGAGGCACAGATCTATGCTTTGAGGGGTGATAAAAGTAGAACAGGAGGAATGCAGATAAAAAAGAGGGGTGTGCAGTTTGCAGAGGGCCATGGCATTTTTTTTCTGAACAAAATCTACAGGAAACGAGTGAATATATCCTTGAGCCCACCAGGGGCACACACATACCTGGTTTGTGCACCATGTGAATCTGCTTGAACATTGTCTTGTACCAGTCCTTCGGCCGGTCCACTGTCTGTAAGAGAGATTATCCCATTGTAACAAAGCTAGTTTCAAGTCAACAATGACTTCAATGTTTTTCTCTCTCTCATATTTGTACCTCTTTTTCTTTTTGTATTTCAGTGCTGGGGATTGAAATCAGGGCCTCATACTTGCTAGGCAAGTACTCTACCACTTGAGCTACAATCCTAATCCTTTTGCTTTTAGTTTGTTTTTCAAAGTCTCATGGTAAACTTTGCCTGTGCTGGCTTTCCACCGTGATCTTCCTATCTCTGCCCCCTCTAGTGAGTGTTCTATTAAGGCATTATTTTTAGAATTAGCTGGAGAATATTTTTGAATCAAATGGTATTCTGATCAGTTTCAATGAAGAGAAATCTGGTCTTTACTAGTCCAATACTCAGTCTATTATCCTAGAGCAAATTAAAGAAAAAAATGCACAGTTTCAAATTTCTTTGGGTGCTCGGTCAAAGAGGATGACCATCCCCAATAGAGGAGGACCGGGTCCTCGGTCAAGGGTGTATGAGTAGCTGCGCTCCCCTGCTAGAACCTACAAACAAGCTCTCAAATATTGTTTAATCAGGATTTTCTTTAATAGGATACACACAACTTAGTTGTACATCCCTTATGTAGACTTTAGATATGAGAGAGACAGTAGGCTGTAGTGGAAAAACAAAATTAACATTCAGTCTTGAACAAAAATTCAAACCTGGCTTGCTTTCATTATAATTTTTAATACATTCTAGCACTAAAATTGAAAAAAATATGGGGGTTGGGAAGGTGGCTCAGTGGTAGAGCGCTTGCCTTGCATGCCTGAGGCCCTGGGTTCGATGCCTCAGCACCACATAAGCAAAAGGAAAAAAAAGCCGGAAGTGGCACTGTGGCTCAAGTGGTAGAGTGCTAGCCTTGAGCTGAAGAGCTGAGGGACAGTGCCCAGGCCCAGAGTTCAGGCCCCACGACTGATTAAAAAAAAAAAAAGAAAAAAAAAGAAAAAAATATGAATTGGGCAAGTTATACGATCCTTTAGAATTGTACTTTTTTCCTCTTTAGAGTGAAATACCAGTATCTATATTATAGTATTTTTTATAGAAATTGAATGAAATAATGTCTACACAAAGGCTTAGAATAGTTCCTAGAGGGCTGGGAAGGTGGCTTAGTGGTAGAGCGCTTGCCTTGCATGCATGAGGCCCTGGGTTCGATTCCTCAGCACCACATACGCAAAAAGAAAAAAGCCGGAAGTGGTGCTGTGGCTCAAGTGGTAGAGCACTAGCCTTGAGCTGAAGAGCTGAGGGACAGCGCCCAGACCCAAAGTTCAGGCCCCATGACCGGACCCCCCCCCAAAAAAAAGAAAAAAAAGAATAGTTCCTAGAATGTACTAAATGTTCAATAAATAAAAGGTAATCTCAAATATTTGTAAACTAATGAATGAATTTAGTTTATTGGGCGTAATTATTATTTATCTATGAAAGAAGACATACATCCTTATAATCACAATTAAATGTTTGGTTTGGCATGATCTTTATCTCAACTCAGAGACACTTGGGCAAAAAAAGTAATTGTTTTGGGTATAGCTAATTACATATGTCAGATTTTCAGGGATAGTTGTCTTGATTAAAAAAATGGTTGGGGGAGGAGGCTACAATGCTTGATAAGAAATGTACTCATTATCTTGTACATGTAATTGTAACCCCTCTGTACAGTATTTTCACAATAAATTTTTTTAAAAAAATAAAAAAAATGGTTGGGACTGTTTCTAATCTAGTCTTGTGCTTGTTTGAGCATTGGTTTTGATTTTTCACCCTGGTTTTTCTTTCAGAACTGTGGGTACTGCATTCTTCATCTGGAAATCAAAGGTGTGGTGCTATATTTAAAGTTATTTTGATCTCTGAGAATAAATGATGTCATCAACTGTCCCACATGGAGAATAAGGGCCAGAGACTTTGTTGTGAGTCATGTCTGCATTTTTGGCTTTTCTACAATGGAAAGCTGAGTTGTTGACTGAATATTTAGTCAAATGGTGGAAACTAGTGGAGGGAGTGGTCATGATGGAGCAGCAGAACAGCTGAAACTTTAAGGGACACTTATCTGCCTAAAAGATTGATTTCTCTCTCATGGGGCATTGTTTCCTTTATAGCATTACAGCAACCACAGAACGAAAATAATTGTATAAAACGTTTTCTACCCATAGCTGGACATAACCACAGAAAGAAGCAAGCAAGCCTAGTAAGTGAGTTATCTCACTGTATATGGCAATGCATCCTGACAGACAGGGTTTCCTCTGCACTTGCTGGAGGGCCTGCTTCAGTCAAGATCTCCCAGTCAGGCCATCTGCTAGCTTTATATGGTGAGCACAGAGATGCCAGGAAACACTCAGTTGTTTGGCAAGTCAGACAGGAAAGTAGATAAATAGGAATACCCACACTCAATGTCCCTTTGGAAAATAAGTACTATGACATTGAAAGCACCTTTTAGCATTGCCATCATTGAGGCTGTTACGCCTAATATCAAGATTGTAACAGTAGAAGGCCAGTCAAATGGAAGTTTACGTCTGCATGCATTGTACACATCATTTTTCCATGGACCCTAACAACTAGGACTGCACTCTGCAGTTGTCTATCACCTTGACTGAATAGACTTCAGTTTTTATGTTCCTGGATTGTGAAATGTCAGAGCTTCATGCTGATTTAGACTGCAGAGACTTCTAAAAAGAAAACAGACTTATTTACTATACACCAGTATATAGTGATTCTTTTTTTGCCCCTTTCTAGTTTTGAACATGCTCAGATGAGTGTTATATTTGAATTAGAAGAAAGGAATCTTGAATGTTACTTAACTAGCTGGCCTTAATTACACAGTCTCATGGACCTGATCCCCAGTGATTTGGGCTGTTTTTAAGATTGGCAGTAAGAGGCTCACATGAATCACATGAGAAGGGGCAATCTGGAGTGCTGATTCCCTTTATTAAGATAACTCAAAAATAGTAGATAGAGACTCATAGCTGTCTGAGGTTTCTGGATTACTTTACATGAGTCTTTGGCATGGTATACGCTGGTTGTATAAGAGGATACCATGACACAGTACATTGAGACCCTGCTACGGACATTGGGTAGAAAACTAATTGGAAGCAATTTGAATCCAATCACCATTGCTTTCTACGCAGATGAGGGAGGAAAATAACCTCGGAGATTCCTGGCCTGCTGTGAGGCAACATTTATAAACATAATTATACTTGCTCCATAGGGCTGCAAGTACTGAACATGAGGAAGAGAAGCGTCTTCACAGACCTGAGCCTCTCTTAGGATATTTCATTGTCTGAGTTAGAGAACAGTTGTAAACAAAAATGAGAGGCCCTTATAAGGAACTTTAGGGTTGTTTATATTTTCTAGTTTATATGGGAGAAAAACCAGCATAACATGTTAAGAGTGTATTTGCTTATGTATATATATATATATATATATATATGCATGCTTTTGATTTGGCAGTTGACAAATATTAAGATGAAAATCTTAATATTACTTGATTTTTTTATTAATCATCTTCAACAATTCAGGGTTTCATTTTTTCCCCCTTAAAAACTAGTAGCTAAAAACTTGCCAGTTACAAATTAAGGTGCCTTATGCAGTACAGCAATGGATCATGTTTTCATGGTCATTTAATAATTCAAAAATATACTCAGAGGTTTCAGGTAAAATCTTTTTTTTCCCCTTTGGATAGAACTCTAATTACATAGGAAGCAATGATCATTGAATTCATGACCCCCAGGGTTGATAAACTCAACCCACGCCTTCCTGATACTTTCTATGATATTAGGAGACAAATTTCAAATGGCTAACACTGGAGGCAGAAATCCTAAAAGAGACACAAACATCAAAACACCACCACCAGAAACATGTAATCATCCTAAACAAAAAAGTCACAATCACTGCCTGAACTTTTCCTGTTAAATGTGACCATTATCAGTTCCAATCCAGACCTCTAGGAATATATAGTCACATTTAACATTCAGGTCTAAGTATCTAACAGGTCTACAAAACCCAGCACCTGCTGTGCTGATTTACTGTGACATCAACCCTAATACAGATGCTTAGAACAATCAGGTCTTAACTTTTCCCTCAGTACGTAAAATGTGTGAGTCTCATCCAACAAATACACACTTCAAAAGACAAGAAAACCCCCTCTGTTTTATCCTTAATTCAGTTGGGATGTTTCCAATGTTACTGCAGCTTCCCCCTCCCCCTCCCCCTTTCTTTCCCATTCCTCCTGTGCCTTCCCTTCCATGTTTCGCATTCCAGGGAAGCCCCTCTTGGCAACACCTCAGCCCTTTATGTGGGTTCACCAGGAACAGCATATTCAGCCCCAGATCCCAGCTCACAGCCCCGGCCCCTTCCTACCCCCCCCACCTCCAGTTTCACCTGCAAAGAAGTCGAGGCGATCATCCTGGTTTCCCAGGCTTCTTTCTGCCGACTAGCACAAGCCTCCTCCTCAAGTGGACTTGCCTGGCACCAGCAGCTGCCTGCCCAGGCTCTGCTACTGAGGAGCTGTGCCAGAAGAGGCTGCCCCAACACACTGAGCAATGCTTTGGCAGAGTTTAAAGACTAAAAAAGAATTAATAAAAAAAAATCCCAACACTTTCACTGATCATCCGGGGAGGGAGAGCTCTCAGCAGGCCCAGCTGAAGCGGGCCACTGGGTGTGTGCGGTGCCTTGCTTCCTTTAGCGCTTCCTGCCTTGCTCCAGCTGATCTCGTCTCGCTAATACTCCCAGTCTCCTGGTGTTAACACACATCCATTTCAAGAAACAAATCGCTGGGTTCTTTGCAGGGCATGTGGGAATTCATGCTGCCAAGAGAATTCACTATTTTATTTTTGTTGTTGTTTTTGCTGTTTCATCTCTGTTTCTATTTTCTCTCTATGGCTCTATGTCTCCTTGGTAAACAGGTTTTTTTTTTTTTGAAAAGAAATGTCATTTCATAAAATCACAATGTTCATGATCTGGAATGCAATGACAAGCCGGATTGCCTGACTGTCTTCAGTGGACAGCTTTGTGTCTTTGTGGCAGAGCGCAATATGCACGGCAGCTCAGATAGCTGGGAGGGCATCCTCATTATGTAAGACCCCAGGAATGCACAAAGCCGCTCACAATCCACCCTTTGTAGTGGCTGCGCGCAGACCCAGGCAGACGCCCATGCTGGCGTTTCTCACCGTTCTAATTGCTGTGGGGATTCCAGACTCATCCACCGGCCCGATCCCCGGGTAATGCGGGGCTTTGATGACTGTCACTCTCTTCTCTTCCTCGGACGATCTGTACAGGGGGATTGAGCTGCCTGTGGTCCCGTCCAGAGACTGCTCATGCTGGGAGGATGCTTCTGCAGAATCTGGGCCGAAAACACATGGTAAATTAGCGGGGCCTCTTGAACCTTGTTGCCAATTGTGACTTACGAGTCCTGATTTCCATGACCATGTTTTAACACGCATGGATCTTATTTTTGCCCCACTCACATGTAGATAGATCGTGTAGATGTGTACAGGACAGGCTTAAAACAGCAAAGACCTCACCGTCTTGTACAGAACGGTGGGGAGAGAGTACCGTTTGGTGAGTGACTGCGTGACAGTCACGTCTGAGGAAGCACTTTACTTTGTTTCAGTAACCTTGGGGTAGGGGAGGAGGAGGGAGAGGATAAAAATCAATTTTATGGATGCGAAGCCCAAGTCCAGACAAGTTTAGTAATTTTTCCCGGCTCCTAATTTATACAAATATTAATCTTGTGAGATTGCTGACAGCTATTTTAGAAAAAGCAATAAAATGTACTTTGAGAAGAAAAGATTATTGAGCCAATGACAGATTTCATTAAGAAAACAACAACACAAATCACCTAAAAGTTTTATGTTCAATTCCATCTGGTACCTGGAATTTTAACAAGTCACCTTTTGGTGAGAATGGAAGGGTCACAATTCCTCGTTAGCCTGGGCAGAGAAGTCTGTGTGACTCCTCTATTGAGAGATGCTGGACACGGTGGTGCGGTGTGTGAGGCACCCCTACCCCCACCAAGCTCAAAAGTGTACCCAGATGGGTACACAAAAATCAAGACTGGAGACATGGCTCAAGTGGCAGAGCCAATATAAGGACCTGAATTCAAACTCCAACAGTGGAACAAATGAATTACATAACGTTCATGTGGAGGTGAAGGATTATGAATAACTTTTAAAATGATTGTCATGAACTGAATTTTATTTAAGTATCCAAGATAGTCATGATATCTTTGGTTAGGCCTTAAAATACCATAGCCATGACTTTTTATCTTTTGAAGGAAATAATTTATCTGAGGATATAAACTAGATAAGGTGGAACACATTTCTATCTTCTTGTTATTTTCATTAACTTCCAGTATACTTTCAGAAATAACAGAAAGCACAAATATGCACTACGCCTTCCATTTACTCCGAGTGCAAAAGTACTTGGAAAGATCAACATACCGTCATTCACCTGACACAATTAGTAATATGACTTCCTGCTTCTCAGCAGTTAATGTCAAAATTTTAGAGACCAAGAATGACACTTCATTTATACAATTTAGGTCACAATTTGGCAGGTGGACCACTTAGGAAGTTCTTTTACAAATGGAAACAGAAAAGCCTTTCTATACCAGGATAAGATTCATTTACTTCACTCAAACACACATGTACATGAGGGGAATCATGCACAAAGATGATATAATACATACACATGGATTTTGCATGAAAATTTTATATAAAGCAACTTGAGTAAGCATTAAACAAACTTTACTGGTTTTTCTGTACTATGTATTAAACACAGGGCTGTGAGCATGCTTTTCTCAACTTTATAAGGATAGAATTAAGATCTCTCAGCTAGTCCAGTGACTACCTCCCAGCTATTCAGGAGTCTGAGATCTGGAGGACTGGGGTTCTAGGTCAGCCTAAATAGAAAAGTCTGAGAGGTCTGATCTCTCTATAACCAACAAAAAGCTGGGCTAGAGACATGGCCAGCTGAGCAAGAAAGCCAAGCAAAGGCAAGGTTGTGAATTCTAACCCTGGTACACCTTCTAAGATAAGAATTATAACATTTAAAATAGATACTATTATTATAGCTATTATTTACTTTTGTTAGTGTGTAACAGAAAAAATTTCTTATTACATTTTTGAAAAGACTGGATGTGGCTAGGACTAAGAATACTTTAGGTGCTATTGGCTATAAAACATTATCTTTTCCAAGCTATCCCAAATTAAGAAATGATATGATTTTCGGCTCTGATAAACTACTTAATTCCATAAAAGGACTGAGTACTTATTATGTACAAAGTCTTACCCAAAGCAGAAAGTATCAAATCTATCTTCACCTATGGCTCATAAGATTGTATAAACAGCATATGAACTGGAAATGAGCTCTTTAGTTATTGTATATGGCTCATTCACTGATTGATACCTTTACAATTTTTTCTCTTCAGCTGAATATAAAATTTACTGAGTGAGAGGAGACTAACAATTTCTTATAACTGCTTCTCCTTTCCCAGCCCTAACCAACTGGAATTCGTTCAATGTTTATATAGGGAACTTCTCTTTCTGTTGTATAACTTCCATGTAATCTATCTATTGATACGGTCCAACACCAAAGCCTGTTTATATTTGTGTGGTTTTATATTTGTGTGAGCTAAAATTGTTCATGACTACCAGCAATGGAATGAAGAGTTACATTTTGATCCTAATTATTTGGGAAAATGTTACAGCTAGAATAATGGATGGCATTTTACTTTGTATATGTGATAATGCATAGTTCCATTAAAAAAATCTGGATAGAGTGGATTCCTATTAGCACACCAGACTACACGTTGATTGTTAAAGGGGAAAAATTTTGGCACAAAAAAGTTCTAGTTTCTTATACTCCAAAAAAAGAGATCATTATAGGATTCAAAGATGGTTCCCAGGAGTAGCATTAGAGCCGGCACAAGTATATTTAGACTTCTTTAATGAGTCTCATGGCTATATTTAAAGTCTTATAGAGATTTTTGTTGACCATAGAAGCTGGGTTCCACCATACACAGGCTGAAGACGGACATAAAATGTTCATTAGTAAGCTAGGGGTATCATATTCTTTCTGGGCAGAGGCTGTGGAGTGAAGGGAGAGTGCTTACTGTCTGCTGTGAACCAAAAAAGTGGTAGAGGCCTGTATTCTAGTGTAGTCTGTGCATTGCGGATTTGTGGGGTCTAGAGGATGCACGCTCTCTTTCTTTTGAGGAGTGTTTGTAGGCTTATTCTCTTCAGCTTCCTCTTTGCTTTGCTTCTTGTTGTTCCAGATGCTTCTAGTTTATCAACCTGACAGAAAGCTTTTCAGTCTGAATTCCCACAGTTCATTTTGGCATTAAAAAATCATTTGAAGTTTTAATTTTAAAAACTGAGAAATATTGGTTGCATTCTTTCCCTAACCTATTGAATGTATGTTATCTTTACATAGCACAGCATCTGTTCAAGAGTTCATGAAACCCTCAAAATTATATGCTTATTTTTAAAAAATATCTCTAAGTCACTGTAAAAAGGAGTTTCAATTCAACCTGTCAGGTTATGAGTACGATGTATCTTGATCCATGTTACCCCCTTCATCATTCTCCCCATTTCTCCAAACTCTACCTATCCCCTCAATTATCCAAGTTCCATTTTTCACATATATGCATTGAGTATTAGGACTACATTCCCCATTTTTAACAAATATTCATAGATCTATTTTTTTCCTGGAGGAGAATTACATCTTTAATCTAATTTGTAACCTCTCCAGAGCTTAAGAGCTGTCTCTGTATAAAGTCGTGGAGTCATACTTTCAGGGAGTTCTGTAGTGTCTTTGTCTTTCTATTCCCAAATCCCGACTAATGGCCTTCAAGCCACAGTCTATCACTGTGTGACTTGGTACTTTATGGCTTTACTGCTTTGTGAAGCAACCTGTTCTTTTGTTACACAGTGTTAACTGTTAAACAATTCTTACGTTCCATATATATGTACCTATATACACATACATACAAGTATATATGCATATGTAGCACACACATATGTGTGTGTTATATGTATGTAACATATAACATATATACATAAAACACATTATGTTCTAGAACAAAAGGTCTTCCACCAAGGAATAGGCTGTTTTAATACAAAACTGTTATATGAATGTTCTGTGGGCCACATAAGCTCTTGCTTTCCTAACCACACAGTTTCTCCTCCTCATCTGCAACACGAAATTTCAAATAACCTTCTCTGGGCTCAGATATAAATGCAGGCCTCCTCTCAGCACAGTCAGATGCCCGTTTTCTCCAGGTGAATCCTCTGCTCCAACTTCTCCCTAAGCTAGGGTCATCACATGGGGGAGTATCGTATGCTCCTTGCATACGATTGCCACCTGGGTTGGAACTGCCATGGCCATCACAGGAATGGAATGACTCACCGAGGGATCTGCCATGCTGCATGATCATGCTCGAGTTGAGAGAGGCTGGAAGAGAGTAGGCTGACGGGGAGAATGGCCTTTGATAGTAACTCATGGGACTCACAGCTCCTCCAGCGTTGCCGTTCACTGTTACCTGGCTCTGAGAAAAGCACACAGAGTTCCATTACAGCTCATAGTTCCCTGCAAACACCTCTCCTGTAGGTGACTAAAGGACTGCTGAACAACTGCCAAATTTTTATTCTGAAAACTGACGCCAAAGAGGCAGGGCAGACTTTTTTCGCTGTCTCTTTTCTCCCTTCTTTTATTGCCGAAAACCATTCCTACTTGTCAGAGGGCAGCAAAGACGGTTAGGAAGAATGGAAGCTGCCAGGCAGAGGATATGCCCCTTTGCCACAGAGGTGTGCAATGTCAGTAGGAGTCACTGCCAAATAAATAGGGGGAAAATATGGCCTAACAGTTATGACTTACGCAATGAGAACATAGACCTTGTCCTGCATACAGGATTTGAAAGGGATGGTCTTTGAGAAGAGGAAAGGGTTTGGTCCACAGACTTAGGCAGGGATATCCTGTGGTGAATGCATATTTCCAAAGCAAGGTGACTAACTTAAATGCTTAGGTTTAGATGTCACATTGCAACCTATTCTAGAACAGTCTCTACTTGGTACAGCCTCAAAATGACAGGCGCCAACACTAGTTTCTCCCTACTTCAGTCTCATTTAGTTCTCTCCCTAATAATTTTGTTTAGATTGTTGCACTATTTTATAACCTCAATAACATACATGTCTTGTTGGAGACAGTCACATATATACTTCTTTTATACTTTTATAAGATATATCTTAGTGCTGTTAATATCAATGATAGTCAATAGTTTATATATATAAATATATATAATAGAATTGGATCATTTTAGTTCATTGAAGTTAAGCCCAGTACAATCTATGCACTGTACAACATCCAGTCCTTTGCAGATTACACACTGCATGCAAATTATTAGTAAGAACATTTAGTCAAAATGACCTATAAACATGCTAAAACTCATGCATGCAGAGAGAAAAACTCATAATTCATTGAACCTTTTCTACCTATTTTAAACTGATATTATTTTTTTTAAACTGATATTATTTACATAGGTTTCACATGCAGAAAAGTAATTGCATATTTCTGTGATTTCACTTGAAAATAATTTTTCCTCCAAAATGACCTAAAAGAAACCCAATGTCAGTACTTTATAGCCATGTCCCATATGTCTTAGGATTGTACTTAATAAATACTTCTTCAAGCTGTTAGAAAATCTTGAAAACTTTCTAGCTGAAGGGAACGGGACATTCAAATAACTGTGAGACACAGGATAAGTCAAAAGCTTCAGGACACTCTGCGGAATGACTTGGAAAGGTTTGCCTCCTGGCCTGTATCAAGTATAGTAGATCTTTGTTAAGCATAAGTCTAGTTTTATTGTTATAATGTGTTATAATGAATGCTAAAAGCACGAGAATCAATTTTTTCGTTAAAAATTGTCAAGTTACCACAACTTGAGTATCCCTTATCCATAAATTTGGGGACCAAAAGTGTTTCAGTTTTCATATTCCTTGAATTTTGGAATATATGCATATGTGTCTATATACATATATACACATGCACACACACACACACACACACACACACACACACACACACATACACAAAATGAAACCTCTTGAGGATGTACCCAAAATTAAACATAAAATTCACTTATGTTTCATATAGGAAGGAATTTATACAGTAGTTTTAGTGCCCCTGTGTTTTGAATGTAGTCTGTCACTGAAGTCAGGGTGTGAAAATTTCCACTTACAGATTCATGTTAGTCCTCAAAAAGTTTCAGATTTTGTAGAATTTTTGAATTTGGATATTGGGATTAGGGCTACTTAAGTTGTATGATACTATGGGGTTACGAAACTGATTCTGAATCCTATTTTGATAGTTTTAATGATATTGAACAGAGATTTAAGTAGTGATTTAAAAATAAAGTCTATTTCTTTCTATTATGGTAAAGTCTATTTATTCTATTGTGGTAAACCAATCCAAGTACTATTGGCTTTTAGAGAACATGTTATCATTAGAATGAAGTAATGATTATGATAAACATCATGGGAAATCTATATATAATACACTGATAATTGGAATCAATTTCAGCCATAGGTATGTCTAATTATTCATGCATCACTATACACACAACAGGATGCAATAGAGTCTTACAGGTAGAAAATTAAATAGGTTTGTACATGAGTTCATTTACTTTTACTACTTGTCATTTTTAAAAGAATATTCCTGAATGTTTCTGAATTTAAGAACCAATTAAAAAACAGTAGGTCTTGGGAGGGAGAGCCATCTCTGACAAACTTGGTACCACTAGTACCAATGGCTGGTTATCTGTAGTGATGGGGTTAATATTTTAGTAGGGTTAATATTGGAAAATACTATATAACAAGCCATAGGATCAACACTGAATCATTTAAAATGAAATGAAAAAAATAAAACACCCAAGTATATTCCACTTTTTGTAACTGCGTGTCTTAAAATCTTATGGCTTCCTGTAACATTTCCCTATGTATTAACGTTACAGACCTATGGCCTTGGTATGATATCAAAACAACACAACACAAATAAAAGTTTATCAATGATAGAGATCACTGGGAAGTTCTTGATATCAGTGTTAGAAAAAATTCCCATACTTTGATCTATAATTAAGTTTCATTCAAATGGAAGCCATACCTCCACATTATATACATGAGAATCTATGCCATAGAAGTTTCAAGCACATTAACAACTCATAAATCATTTACTAATGCGTGGTTAACATATAGACAAAGATATACTATATAATATATGTAGAAACAAAGGAGGAGGCAACAATGCTCAAAGAGAAATGTACTTATTACCTTGCTCATGTAACTGTAACCCCTCTGTACAGCATTTGTACAGTAAAAATGTAATATATATATGTGGAAAATGTATTTCTGTAGTAGAAAAGATATCACTGATATATAATATTATATTTTATTCACAAGTTTCCAAATTAGATATAATGGCTTAGAAAAAAAGAATTTAAAAAATCACAGGGTGAAATTTCTAGAGTATAGATAAAATTATTTCCATCTTTCCTAAATGACAAAGAAGTTTAAAAGATTCAGCAGTTAGTGAAAGAAAAGTAAGAAAAACTAGTATCATGCAGTCAAGTAATCATATAAAAAACAAAGATATCTGAACTATTTACTCAGGACATATTAATGTAAAAGTGTGAGTGGTATAAATACTGGGCTAAAACTTTTTAAAAAAATTTAGATTTTCTGCATAATATAACCGTGGCAACATTTTGATGTAAACCTATCTAAATTCCTGAGGTCCATTCTTCTTGTTCTTTTAAGATAAATCACGATCGTGCTCACGAGCCACAGCCACAGAGCAAACCACACCATAGCAGCGCCACCTTAAGTCATTCCAAACTGAATGAAGGGAATATAAGTCAGATTTTCGGCATAAAGTGGGCTTAATGAGGGTAACTAGTGGATTTCCCTGACAGATGGTATAGGATTGGTTTGCTAATCAACACCTACACGAATATCGAATTGCTCAGCTGCAAAACCAGATGGCAAATAAGAAATCAGTCGTTTAAAAAAAATGGTGGAGGCAAAGGAAGGAAGACTAATTACATGACTAGCAGCAGGGGTAGTTAAGAGAGTGCCATCTGTCACAGCAGACCTCTGACCCCTCCGCACCTCTCCCCTCCAGGTTGGGGAAGGTGTCTCAGAGCAGTCAGTGGTGTCAGCTTCATCCAGCTGTAGCTCTGCAGACTAGCTGTGGAGGAGTCACTCTCAGAGTGGGAGGAGTGCTCATCCAAGGTGGAGACAGCCTGTGGTTGGGCTGTGGATAAAACTTTCAGGAGCCAGAGGAAAGTGTTTATATAGACAATGCGGATGGCTCTGGAGCTTCTCAAGGTGAAAGAGCTCCAGATTATCAATCTTGTTGGGCTGAGCCAATGTCTGGTGAAAAGGTGGACTGGTTCAAAGGTATCCCATGGAAAGGGGATGACGAAGCTTCTGGTGTGGTTTGTCTGTGTGTCTGTGAAGCAGTTCCCTCCAACACACTGGCAGTTAAGTGTTGATTCCCAAGCTGTGTTTGGAGAAAAAATAAGAAGAGATATAAATCATCCAATTAATAAAAACAGCTCTCTTTTGCAACTGGCAGAGAAGGCAGAGTACTGGTTTTATTTGCAAGCACTTTAAGGAAACTATATTCAGATGGATTAGGTGCCAAACACACAGCACAGAAGAAGCTTGAAAAACATGAAAATGAATCCAGCCAGTGATTTTTGGAAACGAGACCAGTTTTCACACAGCCCAGTAATGTGAGTTTGGATAACAGCGTGAGTGTTGGCATAATGGAATTTCTTTCTAACAAGTTTTTGTCCTGGTGATGGTGAAATGATATGAGGTTGGCAGAACTGGTTGGCAGATTGGTTGGCAGAATTAGTTTGGCCTTTAAAACAATCTTATAACATAGTTTCTCTTATTGACTTTCCACTGGCAAATTGACTCCCAAGAATAAGTCAATATGCCTAATACTACCCCCTGATTTATAGATTTCAGCATTCATCAAACTAGAAACCGCTGAATAGAAAGGGGATATTGGGACTCTTTTCCACTTACTGGGTCTGTTCTTTAATTTCTCTAGAAAATACTAAAAGAATTGCACATTAGAGTGTCCTAGCAGTGCAAACTAGGTGCTTACATGTGAAAGTGAGTGAAGACAAACACCAGCCACTGATAAATGGTTAGAACTACTAATGGCATTAACTCTCAAGGAAAGGAGAAAGAAACTGAAGGAGAAATAGAAGGTTTAAGATTGTCAAAGCTATCTATGTAGGACCTAGCTAAACTTGATGAAGGAAAGGGAAAACCTAACTGGAACAGGTCTTTGTAGCCTTCAGGTACAGTGCTACTGTCTGACCACATATGTTGGATATGATGATAAACATCAAACTCAATAAATGAACTAAACTCTGAGTTTGTTCCCCTTCTCCTTCCCCACCTGCCAGAATAGAAGGTTTTCTTTTGGAAGTGTGTTTGAGATGGTGCCGATTGTAAGGTGCTTAGGAGTATTATG